AATTCTATCTATGCTGACAAATAATATTAATTCAAATATGTTTATGGGAGACCTTTACCTTGATGATTTTTCTCATCTCATCATTTAGATAGCCCCTTCATTTATTAATGGATACCTGAAATATTTAGTATAATTATACCTTAAATATTTAGTATGATTATACCTTAAATATTTAGTACAATTGACTTTACCTTTTATGAACCATTGTGGTCAGTTAGAGCTGCAAGGTCACTGAGACTAAAAATAGATTTTCTGTAAGAGTCTCATAGTACGGCTACATACTGCCCTGTCGAGATTTAATTCATGAACTGATGAATTTTGAGAACATTCATGAAAAGTTCATCAAATAATTCATGAATAGTTCATGAACAATAATTTGGCCATTGTTCATGAACAACAATTTCAGGTTCATGAATAGTTCATGAATAATTTGTCCAAATTGTTGTTCATGCACTATTCATGGAGGGTTCGATTTTGGGATGGTGCAGGTCACATTTGTCTGTGACTGATCATGAAATCCTTTCAACGGTCATCTGCACTGTATCTCTGCTCTGGCATGTACGCAAGTAAATCAGTTCCTTGCGAAAGTGAAGGCAACTAGTACTGGTTAACTGTATGACAGCCTGCCCAGGAAAGATGCAGTGGCTGGACTGTGCTTGGTAAATTCAATGTGGCTTTACTGCTATGATCCTGAGTGAAAACTACAATCACTGCCACATACATGTAGTCTGAGGCAGTTTTATTCTGCTGGATATATATATATAGCCAAACGATCTTGTATATTGAATTTCGTTCAACTTAGAATAGACTTTTCGAAATTCAAAGCAAGGCATATCTAAAATAAATTCCACAGGTAAAAAATGAAGGGTTAAAGCATTTTGTCACCTTAGTGCAATAACTGGTTAACTCCTATTAAATTCAGAAGGACTTAATGCATTACTGCTCTAAGATAGTTACAACTACAAGACAGCTTTGCAGTTAAGAAAAAGAAATCTCATGAAAATTTTTCTGCGAAATACACTGACAACCCGGAAAATTTGTTTTTATTTGAACAACAATTCATAGTTTCTTCCTATCATATATTCCAGACACTTTACTAACATAAATATAGACTTCATGTCTATAAAAAAATGAACATTTCATGATTTGTTTTATAAATACTCCTTTTTCTGAATTGTTCATGGATCCTGTTATTAAAAAAACATTAAAACATTATGCTGCAGAAATTGTGTACTTAATTATGTCTTGTGGGGGTTGCCGCCTTTCCTTGCTGATCTTGTTTATCATGTTTTCTGCACTTTAAATTTGAAATAGCTATAGTCAAACTTAAGTTTAATAAAGGAATTTCAGTATCAAAAATACTGGCCATCGATCGCCCGTCCAGAAGAGTAACAGTCATTTTAGATTTTGGAGGATAATGCGAGATACAGGTACAGAAAGATGCCCCAATTCCAGAAGCTCCTCCTGGTTCTTTAACATGCCAAATGTACACAGGACCTTGATTTTAATTAAAGTCTCATCCTAAAGATTGTTTTAGTAATTTTAGTTGGTCAGCCCGGAATTGAACCCAAAAGGTTGAGAGTGCAAGTCTCGCACTCTAACCAATAGCGCTAAGCGGTGTTCCATTTTACTGGTGCAGGAAGACCTCAGGTGTCCTTCCGTGCATTATTTCAGTCAGGAATGGGCACCTGAGAACCACCGACGTTCCGTAAGCTAGCTGGATAGCTTCCTCACATGAAAGAATCCAAAGTCCCTGTCGGGATTTGAACCCACAGTGGTGAAGGGGCAAGTGGTTTGAAGTGAACGACATTAATCACTCAGCCAGGGACACCCCTAAAAAAAAAAAAGTAATGATATCTATGAGATTGGTGTACTGCTGAAACACCATCAGATATCCATTTTTCGATGGCATGATAGAATGATGAAATAGAAAATATGAAAAAGACGTTAATGATCTACTCAGCCTTTATAGGGTGTTTTTTGTCCCATATTGTCTGAGGTTTCACCATTAAATTATTTCACATGCTGAGGAGGCATTCTATACTGATAGGCCTTTTCTCTTTCATACTGTCATAAATCAGTCCTCTAAATGCATTTCTGCCCTCGTTTTCAGTGCCTTTTTCTTTCTAGGGTCATTTTTTGCCTACTTGAAAGATAAATTTGAAATTTAAGTTTCTGCTTTCATCTTCAACTAAACATGCTGCTGGGTTTCAATACAGTTGCAATGATTTACTGAGAATTCCCAGAAATTAGTGAAAGGGACTGAGGTGTTTTGACATGGCCAGACTGGAAACAATTTTTTGAGATTATTTCTCAATTTGATGTAGATCTATACTAAAAACTTATGTGCAAAATTTCAAATCATTAGCTTGCTCCGTTTTTCCAGAATAATTATTACAATATTGAAAAATGACCCAAAATTGAAAAGCATCGCTTTTCATTGGATGATTGTGAGGTTTATATAATATATAAACACTGAGAACCCATTATGTTGGTTTTGTCATGGCGCGGCTCAAATATCTAAATATTTAATTGAACGCCAGATTAATCAGGGTTGTTAATAATAAATCTGATATCACACTTGCAAACAATCAAACAAATGAAATCTTGATCTGCTACCCACTATTTTATATTAATTGTTACATATATAGATAAGAAAATGAAATCACCAGAATGATTTATATGTTAAGATTGCACTAGATGTATAACTGGTTATCTAATGCTGACTGTTGATATGATAAGTCTAGCCTTATGTTATATATATATATATTTATGACTCATTGCCGAAAGTTAACCCAGAAAAATGTTCATGTACCAAAATAAAACTTTAATAACCGATGATTAAATGGGGTTTAATCGATGATCAAATGGGGGTATAACCAATGATTAAATGTGGGTTTAACCGATGATTAAATGGGGGTTTAACCAATGATTAAATGGGGGGTTTAACCGATGATTAAATGGGGTATACCCGATGATTAAATTGGGGTTTAACCAATGATTAAATGGGGGGTTTAACCAATGATCAAATGGGGGTATACCCGATGATTAAATGGGGGTTTAACCAATGATCAAATGGGGGTATACCCGATGATTAAATGGGGGTTTAACTAATGATCAAATGGGGGTATACCCGATGATTAAATGGGGGTTTAACTAATGATCAAATGGGGGTATACCCGATGATTAAATGGGGGTTTAACCAATGATTAAATGGGGTATACCCGATGATTAAATGGGGGTTTAAACTAATGATCAAATGGGGGTATACCCGATGATTAAATGGGGGTTTAACTGATGATTAAATGGGGGTTTAACCAATGATTAAATGGGGTTTAACCAATGATCAAATGGGGGTATACCCGATGATTACATGGGGGTTTAACCGATGATTGAATGGGGGTATGGGGGTTTAACCGATGATTAAATGGGGGTTTAACTGATGATTAAATGGGGTTTAACAGATGATTAAATGGGGGTTTAACAGATGATTAAATGGGGGGTTTAACCGATGATTGAATGGGGGTTTAACTAATGATTAAATGGGGGTTTAACCGATGATTAAATGGGGGTTTAACCAATGATTAAATGGGGGTTTAACCAATGATTAAATGGGGGGTTTAACCGATGATTAAATGGGGGTTTAACAGATGATTAAATGGGGTATAATAAATCTGTAAACTGAGTATAACAGATCAATAAATTGAATGGAATTGTCATATCAGTGGGGACATGGTCATGTCTTAAGTAAAGCTTGAGCTCTGGTGATTCAAGGATTTAGATAATTATAGACACCTAATCTTAGGAAGTGCAGGAAATAAGAATTAAGAACATTTTGGGTTTTGTCCTAACTAATCCGGAGGTACATTAACAAACTTTAACAGTCACAGCTTCAAAAATAAGTGCAACAGTTTGACTAATCTATTGTGATCAGTAAAGCACCAAGAAGCTTACTGTATAACAGTTAAAGTTTGTTTAAATGGTGGGGGGATTAGCTTGGAAAAAACCCACATTTGCCATGTTCCCGATAACATCTATTGCCAAGAAATTAGTACCAGAAATTAACAATAGACAATTTGTTGTTATTCCAAAATACTTACCCTGCTAAATATTTTAATACTCTAGCTAAATCAACAAAATCCTTAAAGTTACAGATCTGATATAAATTGTTGATAACTTTTTAACAGATTATTAAGATGGTATTAAAAGGACAATGCTGTGCATACAACCAATCTTTATTTCGTATCACTTGAAGCAAATAAAAACAAGGCTAATCTGCAAGTTTTCAAGGATCGGTGCATTTATGTTTTAGATTTTATTTTTTTTTGATGTGCAGACTTTAGAATGTTTGAACGCACTGTCTGACCTGAGTGCATTTGCTACTTCTGTGTCAACATGGATTTTAAAACAAAAATCAATACATACAGTTAAAAAAGTTTTAACGGGTGAAGGTGGGTGGGGATAGTTTTTATAGTTTTGGACAAAGCAGGGTTGGTTTTTTTTCTAGGATTTTGGGAACAATTGACCCATACCAATGGAATTGGGAATTTCAATGATTCTTTGTTAAAAATTGGGAAAAAATGCATGGCTTGAATTTTGTAGTGGTTTAATTAATGAAAAGAATCACTGCTGTCTAGGACGTCAGGTTGAAACATTTAAGCACCATAACAGTGAAGAAGCCCTTGTTTTCAAAGATTTTAGAATTTGTTATTCAATATTTCTATTTGTAACTTTCAATCGGGAATTGTTTTCTGTCAATTGGGAAAATAATATACTTTTTTTTAATTGGGAATATGACCAAATATTGGCTTTAAAATTAGCCAAAAAAAATCTCTGCAAAGTAAAACAAAAGTTACATTTTGCAAACCATTTAATTCTTGTTAAGCAGGCTAAAGAAGGGAAGTAACTCATTACAAACATTTTTGCATGTATTTTACAGTATTACCTCCCTTTAACATGTTTTTTTAACATGTTTTTTTTCCACTGTTTTGTATTTTCAGGGAAGGCACATCACGTTGACATTTTAAGCTTGATTGGAATGCCGTCGGAAGCAGCTGGTATTACATATTCAGTAGCATTGGGTGGATTTCCGTCATTTGCCATCACGTCAAGAGCGACAATAAAAGAAGCCTCTTCAGCAGAATATTTTCACGGCGACAAACTTTATAAAGATTTTGCTATCACAACTACTGTGCGACTTAAAAATGACTACGCAACTCTTTTCTCCGTTATGGATCCGTTTGGTGTAAATCAATTCGGTGTTCAGTTAGATAAAACTTTACAAAATTCTAAACCAAGAACTGCTGTGACTGTATATTACACATCATCAAATAATGGTCGCACGCGAAGGTCTGAAATATTAGGCAACACGTTTTATATACCTGATATATACAACCAATGGACGATACTTGGAATAAAAGTGAAAGGTGATACTATTTCGTTGTATAAAAGCTGCGAGTTAGTCGAAACAAAGTCAACACGGCCACGAGATCAGCTGAACTTCGAACGAGGATCAGCCTTGTACTTCGGTAGAACAAGATCGGGCTCAAAAAATTTTGTAGTAAGTTATTTATTATTAAAGGAACTCCACTGTCAGGTCTTAATAGCTTGAAATCATAAAATTTGTAATTTTTTCTTATATCAAATTTGCGGCTTAAAAATGGGAAACTTTGTAATAAATAATAGTTATATAGATATACTCGTTATTAGATTGATAATCAATTTTTTATGGCTGATTTAAGTGAAAAGCGTTGCAACGCTTTTCAATTTGGGTTAATTTGCGCTACTAATTTGTTCATCCCTTGAAAGCGGAATGAGTGAATGTTTCGAAATTTTGTACGTAAGTTTTTGGTCAGGATTTTGAAAAAAAAAAATTTTTGGTCCCTTCATGTCAAATCACCTCAGTGGTCCCTTTAAACATAATATTATCTTTAAGATTAACTCTATACTATGTATAATAAGCTATGTGAATATTCTTATATAGTAGGGATTTGTTGATTTATTTTGAATACTGGCATTATAAGTTTGATTGATACCTTGTATCCGGCGATTCCATATCGGTTAATATATCAAACAACAGAAAAAACTTAATTTTGATGCCATTTTTGGTGAATTGCGTGTCAACCTTGTGGCATATTCTATTGACAAATACTAAATTCTCGTATTAGGAATACTAAAATGCAGGAAAGGAATTCTGTGCAAATTTTAACAAATTCGAAAAAGTAGTCAATCTTACTAATGTACAGCTAAACTTGCAGCATTGATTATTACTTGAAACTGATTCACACATGTATTTTTTATTTACATCAATCTAATTTGTTTGTAATATAACAAATTATTAAATGATATATATCAAATATCAATCACTTTGTGTTGATACCTATATCGTGTAGATCATTCTGACTAATACACAGCCCTATTTTATGGCATATTTCGTTATTTTCCGTGAATCGTAAAGGTCTTATCAAATTCAGTATATTCTTTTTATTTTCCTTTTTGGCTTTTTTTATATGGATCAGAAGTATATGAGGAACTGCCCTACTCACTCCAGCGTCCAAATTAATGGTTAAAGTTTTTGTGCAGTCGAATGATATTTTAAAGGATTTACTAACTTTTTTAAAGGATTTACTAAATTTTTTTGTTTTATGTACCTACGTAAAAGGTAAAGCATTAATCAGGGGCAGATTTTAATTTAGAATTGTACCTACGTAAAAGGTAAAGCATTATTCAGGGACAGATTTTAATTGAGAATTGTATTTCCAGGGTGATATAATGGAACTCAAAGTACACGAAGACCCAACAAAAGCAGAAAACGGCGAATGCGACGTAAGTTGATTTTTAACTGAAATATATATAGAGGATATTGAATGAGTGTAGTTTAATACTAAATTTATTGAACGAGTTGAATAAAATCATATTATGCGAGCCTCTGGCGAGCATAATATTGTTTTATTCAACGAGTTCAATAAATTTAGTATTGAATCTACACGAATATAATATTCTATTTATCACATATATAAAATAAGAACAGTGAACTGTTAAAATGAGTAATTTTTCAATGACGCGCCCATAGTGTAACGCTAACACTAGCGCGCTTTAACGCTATGTTTCTTTATAGCGCAAATGACGTCACGTCAAAGTGTTATTACACTAGTGTAATATCGTTTTTATTAAATGGCTTTATTACACTCCCGCAACGCGGTTTATGTGATAAATGTAGTTATTCCATTGCTCTGAACAAATAACGTATCAAAGTTGTATTTTAATACTAAGCATTAAAAATTAGTATTAAGTAGGGTCTGAGTTTTCACTGAGAATTGTTTGACCATCAAAGTTAATTTAAGTTTCATCTGAGCATACAGATGTGCCAATGAAAACAGCTGATTTGACCATGGATTATTGGGGATATATCAATCTACAAGCTGAAAATACAACCGATTTTAACAGCATTTCAGCCAATGATATGGATCGCCAATCTGTTAATAACTAAAACCCTGTAAGGTCATTGATTTTGTTTAACATGCCCCTCACAACACCATGTTTTTTATCTACATTAAATATAATTATGACCATAGAAGCTGACCTCCTGAAGAAGCTGAAGAAGAAGACAGGACTTCCTTTGACCTCAATTAAATCATGTTGGACTAGTACTGGCATGCGAGCAGTTCCCGTACAGAAGCAGTACCCGTATTTTTCATTTAAACGCTTGATTTTTACTTGCATTCTTCAAAAATTCATTTCAAATCAAGCAGATATATAAACGTGACAAAATCTAAGTGTCAGTTCGGCAGTACTTATAAAAAGTCTCATTTTAAATCACCCTCACCTGTGCGTCGTCAAAACGTGACCTTGTTTTCTCTTGGGGATTCCGTCCTTGCGCGCATGCGCAAAAATACTTACACGTGAGGCATGTTAAAGGGTTTTCCACTAATACCACCTGTTTACAAATAAGTAGGCAATGTGATGAAAACTTGTTTATTTATCAGAATGTTGACCAATATTACTATATATAATAATTTTATGACTTTGATGCGTAAAATATCATGCATACAAGCATGCTATTGCATGTGAATGCGTTGGGGTAACGGTACCGGGTAATAGATAGTCCCGCGTTTAGTCTACGCTCTATTTCCTGAATTACATCTATTTATCTCTTAGATAATGGCCTGTTCAACAATTGTAAATGAAAAATAGGTCCGATAAAATAAAATTGTATAATTATAATGGGTTAGATTTTATGTACGGGAACTACTTCTCTTCATACAAAATAATGGATAATTTCGGTACCCCATATGAGGCCTCATAAGTAAGGGTTATTCTATGTTTAGAACATGATGGAATTTCCATGATTTGTGTGACGAGCCGAATATTGATGTGTAACATTCAAATTTTGGTGAGTGAGCGTAATAAAAAATAATGTTTAAGTAACTATGATTTGTGTACGGGAACTGCTCGCATGCCAGTAGTTATTTGGAATGAAATTGGTAATTTCTGGTTTAGTAACCAATAGTTGAGATATGACCAAAAGTGTTGAAATCAGTGTAAAAACCAGACAAATAAACACGTATCAAGAAAAAATTAAACTAACTAAGGTTCCTTCCTGTCCATCGAAATTTTGTTATCACTTTACCTTTGTTGATTTTATCCAAACCGTCATGTTTTTTATCAGTGTTGTTTTATTAATCTGTTTGTATATATATTTTTTCTAGGAATTAAACCGAGGCTCAGGTTCCGGTAGTGATGATGAAGATTTAACTGTGACAGACTTATATGATAATAGTATTGAGGTAAAAAATGATCATTTCTTCTATGCAATGTATCAGAGATGTAATATTTCTAATCCTTTAAAGCTGCATGTCTTTAGATGAGCCAAAATATTTCAATAAAACCAGAAAAATGTAATAAGATTTTAGGAAAAGTAAAAAGAGTCAAGAATTAAGTAATAATTTACATGTTATGTGTGATAATAATTGATTTTACAGTATTTATAACCATATTTCTACTGTGTAACTTAACCGCCTCCGTGGTCGAGGGGTTAGAGTCGATGACTTCTAATTCAGTTACCTCTCTGGTGTGGGTTCGATCCCCGATAGAATTGATGCTTTGGTAGTTTAGCAGGGAGGAAGGTAGTCTAGTACTGGTGTAACTCTCCAGGAACAATGGTTAGGAAACTACCCGCCTATATGACTGAAATACTGTTGGGAAAAGGCATAAAATCAAACAAACAAACAAATCTGTGTTACTAATGCAGTTAGGACTATTTTTGAATATTTTGATATCATTTTGGTCATTAACGTTGGTTGCGAGAGCTGTTTGTTACTTCACAATATTTTACTTTTAAATTCATTTTCAAAATTTTCAAGAAAATTAGCATGAATCTGGAGGCCTGCTGCTTTAAGATCACTTAACTCACCATTTTGTTAATGGTTAAGGTTCCAGGCCCCATGTTCACAAAGATTTAAGGATCAGGATCAAGATCAGGATCAAATTTGAAAACTCTATTAATCTTCATTGTTTATCCTCATAGATAAATATCTAATTATAAATTTGATAAAACTGGACTTGAAATAGCAAGTATATGAAATTTTAGAATAAATCAATTGTTAATTTTGCAAGATATGGGCATTTTACAGTTGATCCATATATTGATCCTGATCCTAAAATTGATCCTTATTTTGATCCAAATATTTTTGTATTTGTTTTGTTATTTGTTGATTTTATCCCAAAATAGTTTGTTTTCTTTGCAAATCAGCATATTTTTACATTTTGAATATTTACAATTTAATTCAACAAAACACAAATAATTTAAGTAACATTAAACAATTAAAATAAAATCAGGATCACTTGATCCTGATCCTGATCTTTTCTTAGTGAACACGGGGCCAGTATACCCTTTGAATACTGTTAAAATGCCCTAAAGATATGTTGCCTGCTTTTTAATTTGTCTTTTGAAATCTGTCTGTAATACGCAGGCTTCATAAACTCTGATCCTCCCCACTCATTGGTTTCTTATTTAAGACACAAGTCATGCTTTCTTTAGCTTAGGGACCATAATTATGCCACTTTTCATGTAAACTGGTACAGACATGTCACATAAAGGTTCCTTGATCACTGCGCATATGAACACATCTGCAGATGATTCTTAAGTTCAGAACTTTGACATTATCATGTTGGAATGTTGAATACTGCTTAACCTGGTGCTTATAATTGAAACTACTGTCCATGAGCAGGTTCAATCAAAACAAGTCTGCCATTTTGTTTGTTCTTTAAGGTTTTTTACCCCTCAGATTTTGTTCATTAAAATGATATATTTGATCTTTGTTTATGATTTTGTTTAGGTTGATAATGTACCAGAACCTGTCCAGACTGTGAGAGGTGAGAAAGGTGAACAAGGCATGAAAGGTGAACATGGTATGAAAGGGGAACAAGGCATGAAAGGGGAACCAGGGCCGTGTTGTGGAGCAGGAACACCACCTCCCATAGGACCGCCCCCAGATCCCACCCCAATAATGGGTCAAAAAGGTATATCATTGATGAGCTGCGTCACGACAAAACTAACATAGTGCGTTTTGCTACCAGCATAGATCCAGACCAGCCTGCGCATCCACGCAGTCTGATCAGGATCCATGCTGTTCGCTAATACCAACTCTATTACAAGTAGAGGAACTGATAGCGAACAGCATGGATACTGATCAGACTGCGCGGATGCACAGGCTGGTCTGGATCCATGCTTGTTGCAAACGCACTATGACGCAGCTCATTTCTTTTTAGCACCACTAGGCCCTACTTTGATTTTCATCATTACTAGAAATTTGTCATTGTATCATGATTAAATAGAATATTCTTTTTCTTTTTGATATCAAGCTGTCTATAAAATTGTCAGTATAACATTAATTTTCAAAACAAACTGGATTGATTGGAATTAATTTAGACAGAATGATACTTCTCTGCAATGTTCAAGTTATTGACTTAAGTGTCGTATACTGAATATAATTTTATGATTAAAAAAAATTAGCAAAATAACACGTCATTTGACAAATGTAATAGATATTTTGTTTAGACCTTTTAGTTGAGAACTGTTTATATATATTCATGTAAATACGAGGGTTGTCCCAAAAGTCCGTGACAAATTTTATAGCCGGTTCATTTTTAACGCCAATAGAAAATAATTCACACATATAACCGTTAAGTTTATTATTCAACATTACAACAAATCATTTATAAAAAATTTACCCTAGTTACTTAGAAATTTTCAGTATTAACAACATTGGTTTGAGTTGCCGGCGCACGTCAAATAATTTACATTTTGTTATGAATAGGCTGAAAGTAATTACGTATATTTCAAATATCTGATGATGTGTCTGCACAATGTCACGTTGACTTCCTCTGCTGCTATATTTAAATCATCTCTGAAAATTTTAGTTAAATAACTGAAAAAACGAAAAAGATACGAATAAATGAAAATATCTCATATAAAATAGGAAAGTTAAAATGGCGACGTTCGAAGAATTTGCGGCGCAGTGAACATGTCACTCAGATGCATGACTATTTCGAGATGACACATGTAACGATTTTCAACAAATATACCAAACATAACAGTTTAACAACATATTCTGAGCATTTGTGTACAAAAGGCATGAACGGAACCAGAGTTTTGTGCTACAAAAAGCGAAAATAAGGAAAACACGGATAGGAAGACCGATCTTCGTCGCCTATTTCCTACAGCTTAAAACAGGAGTAACGAGACCGCAAGTTAGCGTATAGCAAAAATTAATGTATGCCATCCAAACATTCAACAGACATTAACAGCCACATTATTTAAGTCAGAAATTGACGATTTATGGGTAACATTATTGCGTTGAAAGCCATTGAGAGTATTTGAGAAAGGCGCCTTATATAGATTTAACGCCGTCTTTGATGTTGGACGTGCGCCGCGATTCAGTTAGTTGCCATGGTGTTTATGGCATATTTTTGTTGTTTGTTGATATTTATCTATGAAAATTTGTGAAAATGTTTAAATTATATGGGTTTATAACATATTAAAATATCAAATTCGTACCTGTTTTATTTAGCTTTTAATCAATCTTGTCACAGAATATTGGGACAACCCTCGTATGTGGAGAAAAAGAAAGTCATAAATGGGAAATTATCATGTGATTTTTTATATGTATAAATTCCCGCTGCTGACTTTCTTCTAACTGTGTATATAATCTTGTTTAGGAGAAAGAGGTGGAATGGGTTTCCCTGGTGCAAATGGTAATGATGGCCTGCCAGGTTTAAAAGGTGAGCCCGGGGATCGCGGAGACACAGGAGCACCTGGTATACCAGGACCACAAGGACCACCTGGTGCCAAAGGTGACAGCGGAGATCGGGTATGTTATAATAATGATAATAATGAATGTATTGAACACGGAGGGGTATGTTATATCGGTGAATGTGATGAAGGTGGGGTAAAGTCAATTAAATGCTGTTACTGTCTAGAGTTGAAGTAGCTTGTTATTAAATATGGTGTGAGGACGTCCTGGTCACGGCACCAGAAAATGTTATAAAAGTCACCGTGATGAACATGGGGAAAGGTCAACTAAGGTAGTCTTACTGTACTGCTTTCCCGTCTAAAGGATTTCTAACATCAGCCAATATCGTAATAAATCGGTCATTTCCGGAGCGCTATTTTTCACAATCTTCGGTATTCAATAATTTTTAACAGTTTATAACTTGAATTTAGTATGTAATGATGAAGGATGAGTGATTGTAAATAATCTAATACCCAAGTTTTTGAAAAAAATAATGTTCCGGAAATAACCTATTTGCTACGATATTGACTGATGTTTTGTTTGGTTCCAGCACGGGTTTAATGCTCACAAAGAATAGTTTACAATTTAACTGAAAAAGAGTAGTCTGTTAAGCTAGAAATGTAATTATGGTCAATACCCATTAGCAGACTAATCTATTTATATGCATCTAATGTTCATGATATCAAAGGTATAACTATTTTTTCTAGATACACAAGTTTAGTCCTTAAATTTGATGTATATTTGAGATCAAAGTAAATTGAGTAAAACAACATAACAAATTCTGATAAAAAAAATACAAAAAAGAAGCATAATCATATTTGGATAGTTAAAAATAAAATTTTATTTTTTTCTCTCTAAATTGCAAATTTTATATGGTGTTTAAGAAACCAATCAATTTAATAGTTTCAAGAAATATAGCATATAATTCTATTTCAAAAATATGTTTTTGCATTTTAGGGTCCACCCGGTTTAACAATAATAGGCCCACCAGGACCTCCAGGTGAACCAGGACTCACACCGGAACAGCTACCTATACCTGAAGTCCAAAAAGGTCAGAAAGGTGACATTGGAATTGCCGGGTTACCAGGCTCGGATGGTCGTGATGGAAACCCAGGACCACCTGGACCTGTAGGACCTAGGGTAGGACGCAAGTTTGATCTTTATTATATCATTATTATTCCCCTTTCATGAACACCGGCCCCATTCTCAATTTGCTAATGAGAGCTCTGGAATTTCAAGATTAGAATTTCAAAATGTCAGAAAACAGTTATAACAGACTGTATAAATGTTTAGGCTGGCCTAGCTCTATACTGATGGCATGGGCGGTTCATAGCTTAATGTGTTATAAATCAGAAAATATCACTTTGATGAATTTTTTTGTCAGTATATATCACATTATATTCATCAGCTTAAGGAAGTCTATAAAGAAGATATTCAAGTTTTTTCTATAAATACAGGATGTATGTTCATCGAGTGGTATGAAATATGATAATTTTCATATCACAAAATGAAAATAAATCCTGTATTTAAAGAAAAAACTTTCTGTTTATTACTGGTATATACATTTTTCTTTTTTTAGACCTAACAATTTAAAAGGTTTCAACGTAAATTTTGTGTATTGGCTGAATTGAAAGGAGAGTAGTGTGGCAAGACACTAGTGAAAATATGGAAAGTATGTTTCACTCCAGGAAAAAGAATTTTTTTCAATAAATACAGAAAATGAGAATAGACATTTTATGTTATCAATATTTCTCAGTATTTCATTTATAAGTGTATAATAATTATTATTTTGTATATTATTATGTAGGGAGAGTCATTATATTTGTTTATAATTATACAGGGAGAGTCAATACGAGGTGACCCCGGGTTACCTGGACCAGCAGGTGAACCAGGCACCCCAGGACGTAATGGCTTGTTAGGACCACCAGGTCCCCCAGGGCCACCAGGACCCCCTGGCCCAAGTGGACCTGCCAGACCTACCAGTCTTCCTTTAATAGTTGATCCGGACACTATAGATGGTTCAGGGGAAATATCAGGAACTGGTGAGAAAGGTGAGAAGGGAGATGCTGGTCCCAGGGGACCAGCTGGCATTCCCGGGGAACCCGGAGCTGCAGGCCCCAGAGGTATGCCTGGAGAGTCAGGGGTAAGAGGACCACAGGGACAGGTTGGACCAATGGGACCCCAGGGTACACCAGGTAAATATTCTTTATTTTTTCTTTTCCACTGACAAAGTTTGTTTAATTCTTTATCTTAGTGATAATTTATTAAAGGCACATTATGCTCCAAAAATGCATTATATTTTTTATTTCCGGGGGTATTTCAATTTTTGTATTTTGATCATTATAATTTGTTATAATGGAGTGCAGCCCTTTTCCTAGCCATTTTGGGAAAAAGTACCTTAGGCAGTTTGGGAAATTTTGTACCAGAAATTACTTAATTGAGAAATATATTTGGGGTCTTTTAAAACCTACTTTCAGGCTCTTTTGGCATTGTGTAACATTGTTTATTTCAAACCATCGCAGATATTATCAACCAAAGCATAACACATACATTAAAGTTTGGAGATAAATGTGAGGAAATATCTTGGTTATCAAGAAATTTCAGTTCAATTGGGAATTTTATTTCAAGATTGGGAAAAAAATAAGCATATTTTCTGTTGGGAATTGATCATGGTAACACTGGGTTAAGGCATGGTTACTGTTGGCAAGAAAATGCATAAATAAATGTAGCAACTTAGGGAATAAACATATTTAGGAAGTAGTTATCAGTTTTAAATGCATTGCTGTAGAATAACGCACAGTTCAAGTTCAAATGCGCAAGAATATTATCACAGAGGCCAATTGGCCTGAGTGTCTAATTACAAAGCATTTGAACAATAAAAGATGGAGTACTATACTATAATGCAAGATAAATAAATATATCTATTTCCATTCTAGCATGCTAATAAAAAAAGAGAATTGGTGAAAATTTGTTGTTGAGCTACACTGTGTGTAGAAGTAACTTTTCTGAATAAATATGTAACATTTAGTTATTTTTGTTACATCATTTCGGTTAATAATTTTCGGTTAATGATGTTAAAGCAGTCCTTTTTTATGCTGTGCATATTTTGTGTAATAATGCAATTAATTGCATGATCTGTTTATGTTCTGGATATTCTTTAAATGTGCCTTATGCCTCAGAAACAAGTAAACTTTTACTTCTTTAGAAAGGGCAAGCATAAATTTCATAGCATTTACATAATGGTTTTGGAGCATGCTACTTAAATTAAGTAACACTAATAGTGAAATAATTTGTAATAAAGCTTTAAAAAGCAGCATAATGTAATCAGAGAAATATTTTGACTTCCATACTAAACACTTAATCACTATTACTGTACTCATTGCCAAAAAGCAACGAAGTATAGATGGTTCAGGTAATTGGCCAATGAGTAACTTTTTGAAAACAATAAGAGTATATCTACCAAAAATAAAAAAGCTTTTGAGAAATAAAAATAAAAGCATTTCAGGGGCATAATGGGCCTTTAACATATTCATATTTTTCAATATGCATGTGTAAATGTAAAGTTTAGCATGTAAATTGTAAATATGCATACAAGTTATTTTTTATTCATTAAAATGTTAATACATGTATTCTTTGACATGTAAATGTGTAAATTTTAAACCATACAGGTAAACCTGGTGTGTTTGAAGGTGATTTAGAAGATCTGAGAGGTGACCCAGGACAACCTGGAGTATCTGGACCCCCAGGACCTGCTGTATGTATATATTATCATATATTAAAAACTCAATTCATGATGTACATGGTTATTTTTAATAGTCATTATCTTGAATTGGTGGAGAGATAGAAACAAGCATTGATTGCCAGATGTAGAACAAATAAATTCATGAAATTTACAGATGAAAAATAAATTCATGAAATTAACAGATGAAAAATAAATAAATTCATAAAATTTAGATTATATGCAATAGTTTCTAGAAAAACCAGTCTAATAACACCCCACCGATGTAAGACCAATCGTGTGTTTTTAATGATGTCATTCCCTCGTGTCTTTTATGAAGAATTATGAATAATGAATGTTGTTATTAGTAAGACATCACTGTGTTGTTATAATTGATACAATACGAAGTTGTAAATTCATGCACAACTATAAGAAAAAAGTGCTAAAATAAAAAATATCAGTTTTCGTAATTCTTTTGAAATATTAATCTGTAATATGCAAGAAAAAGAATCAAACACTGGCTATCATCTGACCGACAGCAATATCTAGCTCCGGGATAAATGTTTAGCGGAAAAAAGGCAGAGCCTCGTGTCTGCCGTAAACAGTTAACCTCAAGTAAAATATTCCTGTCTGTACCGGCAGCCAGTGTAAGATTCTTATACTGAAGAGGAAATTGGTCTACAGTGGGCTGCTTTCCAAATGTTATACTGTATTTACCTGTTATAAGAATATTTTCAACTTGTAAAATATTGTGTGTTAAAATGGAAATAATTTTGTGTTTTTTAAAAAACTGTCAATTAAAGGAGTGGTAAGGATGTTCATGTTGTAACATTATGTGCCTCGTTTTCATAAATTGAGTGTTGTCTGGTAAATTTCATTCTTCCGTTGCTTTACTCGGGGTTCAAATTTAAGAATTGAAAGTTTGGTTATGAATTATGAAATCCGATTTTGTGAAAGTAATTTGACAAGTCGGATGGTTATCAAAGTGAACACTCACTGCTTTCACGTTTTGTAAGTGCTTAAGATGCTAAAATTTAGCCCTGTGTACTCAATTTCTTTTTATGCCCCCACAAAGTGGGAGCATATAGCGTTGCATTTGTCCCTACGTCCGTCCCTCCATAAGTCCGTCCATCTGTCCGAGCAAACATTTGATTATTATGAGCTTCATTCTGTAGTTAAATAAAAAACGAAAACTCATAATATTCAAATTAAGAGCTATTTTTTTTGTTTTTATGAGCTTATTTTGCTTATGGACGTTGGTCCAGGTGGTAATTATGAGCTGATTTGCCTCATAAACATCAAATTTTGGTACGTCCCTACGTCCCGAAATCTTGTGAACGCAACTCCTGTTAACCCGGATGGCAGATTTTGCTTAAACTTCCAGGGATGAACAACCTTAATGTGTAGATGGTAGTAAAAGAAGGAATTTTTTGCTGCGACCTAATTTAACAGAATTATGGCCCTTTGTTGATTTTTTCACTATATACTATATATATGTTGTCAGTGGGGGCATCCGTGTCCTTTGGACACAGTTCTAGTTTCCAACTTTTGTTGCAAATTAAAATAATGTCTTTCTTTTATTTCAAAACATGTGAAATTCAAATTGCTTTGTCTTCTTTACCTCAGCTTCTTGAAGAGAAACATGGGGTTTTCTTCTCACTTAGACATTGGCTTTGGCATCAGCGTTAAAATTTAGTCAAAAGTTTTTACATACAATATAATATCTCATCAAACACTAATGACATTCCCTTGTAACTTCACAATTATTTGGAAGCATAATACGACAATCACTTTTAAAGGTCCATAATTCTGACATGGATTTTGAATGAATTACAGCCCTTTTTGAACTTTGAAAATTCTTGGTTAAAGTTGTTTTTTTTTGGTAGCATTACTCTTCAAAACAACTAAAGACTCTTTATACAGGTTTGCATGATCATAATCGTAGATCACTTACCAAGGCTGATAACTCTCTCATGGATGTTGACTGCATAATGGCCCTTTTTAACCCTTGAAAACTTTAGTTCAAGTTATTTGTACAATATCAATCTTCTTACTACTGAAAGTATTCACATGAAACTTATAACATGTCTTTGGGATCATAATTGGATGTCGCTATCCAAGTCCCATAACTCTGACATGGAATTTGACTGAATTATGGCCGTTTGTGAATTTAGAAAAATTTTGGTTTAAGTTTTGCAAATGCAACATTGATCTTTCATATAGAGCTACTGATTGTATTCACTTGAAACCTGCTTTTTGAATTACAACTCATGGCCAATAACTCTTGCATGAATTTTTAATGAAATATTTAGGCCCGTTTGTGAATTTAACAAAATTCTTTGTTCAATATCCAAGACTCATTACTACATGTATGTCACGTACATTATTTATATTTTTTGTGAAAAATCTCCCTCTTTGTTAATTCTTACATTATCCAGGCTCTTAGTTTATTATCAAGCACTGAGAATAGTCAAGCACGCTGTCCTATTTTCGGACTGTCCTGTTACAATACAGCTCTTGTTAATTAAGATATCCATGTTGCGACTCAACGGTTACCTTGACAACACTCAATAATATTACATGTTTAGTTTTGACCACAGGACTGTTGTAAGTCCTCCTTTATTTTATATATAAGTTACTGCAGTTTTGCAGTCAACCTTTGAATTGTATAATTTTATGTATTGTATCATTTTGTGTTATATTTCTTATGGTTACATTATTTACTCCATCTTTTTCTGTTTTTCTGATCAGGATCCATGCTGTTCGCTTACCAACTCTATTTCAAGTAGAGAAACTGATAGCGAACAGCATGGATCCTGATCAGACTGCGTGGATGCGCAGGCTGGTCTGGATCCATGCTGGTCGCCAACGCACTATGTTGGTTTTGTCGTGACGAGGCTCATTTAATTGTAATAGGTTATTTAAATTTTATAAAAAAATAATGATAATAATATAAGAATAAAGTAGAAAGTAAGAGATATATATTCTAGGAAGAAATTTAAATGTACAGAATTTAAATGGGAAGCATATGATATTAGTAAAAACATTTGTTCTTAGAAATATTCATTCATAAAATTTTCTTTCATAGATATCTCTGTTTAGTAACCCCCGCTTTCCCTTACATGTGAACTTTTTAATGATCAAGTGAAAAAGAGGGAGACTTTGCAATTTTATTCATTGTCATATGTACATGTGTTTAAAAAGTTCCATGATTCTGTTTAAGCTCTGGTGTGTATTTTGAACAATTTTATTACTTATTGTCTCTAGAGTAAATTTTTTTTAAATTAGGCGAGTGTTTCACTAATATTCTGTAAGTTTAGCATTTCTTTTACCTAAATTTGTACTTACCTTAAACACAAATTTTTGTTGGTTGCATTTCACTAATTTACGCCAGCAATAAGTGAGCGAAACTTTGCGTTTGAAACTACGCAAATGCGTATCTTAGAAAGTTTAATGAAACACAAATAAATATGTAAGTTCTGTTTACACAAAAAGTTACATTTAAACTCAAGATACGATAACGTGTGTTAGTGAAATGCACCCCTGGATTGCAGTTATGATCAGACTTGATTTCATAATTATGTCCCCTTGTGGCTGATGTATTGTCTTGATAAGTTGAGGCAACAGAATTACAGCCACCGTTTATCCCTGGGTTATCATAAGAGATGACTTGATGGGTTGAAATTCCTGGAGTCTATGCATCCCTCAGCTCCAATAGTTTTAGTTTTACCCCTGGTGTTGCTTAAAGTTCGTAACACTTGAGGTTAGCCGAAATCCTCTTCCCTATTTGACATTGGCATATGACCTTAATTGTGTTGGTATGCCATAAAACCAAACAAAACAAATAAATCTCATAATATACCTTAGAGGGCATCAATGCATACTATACTGGTGTTAATGTTTTTGTCTATCTTAGAATATCTGACAATCTATCAATTCCCTCATTTTCTCAGAAATTTACCTAGGTAAAAAGGAATTTAATTTTTCACATTAATAAAAGAGCATGTAAATGTATTTCAGGGAATGCCCGGACCTGCTGGAGTACCTGGATTACCTGGTGTGCCTGGAACTAAAGGAGATAAGGTAAGTAACCTAATCATCTGGTAATTTATTTCAAACATATTAAATAATTATTTGCATAGATTAATATACTATGAAAATTTTCAAGACTTAAGTTACAGTCAGATATCTTCATCCTCAAAGAAGGCCACTAGATTTTTGTCCATGTAAATGTGTCTTAAAATGTTTCAATATGAACATGCATATGTGCATGGTCTGTAAAAAAACACATTTTGATAGGACATTCAAAATTTTATGACTTTTTTTTCTGTTTTACTCAGGGTCAGGACGGTTATCCAGGAGAGCCAGGTGTCCCAGGATATGAGGGACCAGCTGGTCCTAACGGTGCACCAGGACGTGATGGTCGCCCAGGACAAGACGGAAAACCGGGAGTCCCAGGTCCACCGGGACCACCTGGGCCTGTTGTGGAGGTATGTAAAAAAAGAAATGAAATTAACACATAGCTTGTTCATACAAGTTTAGAAAGAGATACTCGGGCAAAATAATGGCATGTATGTTGAACGAAATTTAGACTCCAAACGAAACTCCAAATAGTTTTAAAACAAGTCATGTGACTTGAACAAACCCTTGAAGTTAAAATAACAGATATTTTGGATATTGTATGATTGAAACAAGTCTAAGTCATTCATTTGACATGTTCTTTAACATTTCCAGAGTTCACTGTGACAACTTTTGTGAAATCTTAATGCTCTAACCTGACCCACATGTGTCAAGTTAGGAACCACCATTTTATTCTTTATTGGTGAAAAGTTTTGTTCCTTTGTGTCTAGTGTATTCGTTTTGAGGACATTAACAGATAAATGAATGAGAAATGAAAATTTTGCCTGTGTCTCCATTTAAATGGTTAGTGAACAGGTAAAAATAAAAAATTAGCTCGGCATTTTGCCATAATTGTGTTAAAGTTTATATTTAACTGTAAAAAATAAGCTATAAACCATGTATCCAACAGAAATTTCTATATAGATCATTCAGAAGATATAGTAATGCTCAATTCTTTTTAGCTGTAATCTCAAAAATTATTATTATAATTACTGTCATTTTTCCCAAAAATGTTATTACCTACCTTGACTGTCAGGTAAATAGTATATAGAATTCAGAATCTTGTGTTTGGAAACTAAAAGGATATCCCCAACCCAAAAGGCATGAATTAAAATGCAAGTTTTATAATACAAGAGGACATTACCAAGGACTGACTTGTTAACACTAGCTCATACTGACTTTATTATAATTGATTATTTCAGATTACTGGTGAAGTGCAAAGTGGACAACAAGGACCAACTGGGCCATCAGGTCCTAGAGGTTTACCCGGACCTCAGGGTCAGGTAGGACTCCCGGGTGCTCAGGGAGATCCTGGCATGAAAGGAGACAAAGGTGATATGGGGGCTAGAGGAGAAAGAGGGCACACTGGAGACCAGGTATAAACTTTGTTTGAAGTCAATTTAACCCTTTCCCCCATGAGCATATTGTGAAAAATGGCCGTTTTCACTGAAAAGCCTCCTGTTACAAGTTCAAACTGCTATGAAACTATGAAAAATGCTTCAATACTAATCAAACTTGGCACAAATGTTGACTGGACCATTGCCTTTGTAACGACATGCTCAGTCTTAAATTTCCTGTTACCATGGCAACGAGGGGACATCTCAAAATTGCCAAAAATAACTATTTTCCCTCGATTTTTTCCATCAAAATTTATTCAAAGTGCTGCAACTTCTCAAGGGATTGAGATAGAGTCAAAGGCTTTTCAGCGTTGGTTAAACGTTACATTATGATCGACCTGGGGTCATTTTTAGCCTCTCACAAGTCCAAAATTTTCTTGGCGAAGTTAAAACTTATGTTTGGGGCCCAAATAGGACATTTTTTCACTATTTGAGACCTAAAAAAAGGGGGGGGGGGGTCGAAAGTGCGTTGTTTCGCGTATATATGTGGTAAAGGGTTAATAAGGAAATTTTATGTGTTTTAGATAAGGTTTTATAAATTACAGCTTGTAAAGAAAGCTACAGTAAATACAGAATATTATGTTGTAGTAGCTATCTGAGGCTTTGTATTTTGTTACAAGCAGCATTAGAAAATTGATATCTTGAGAGACTGAGGTTTCGAGCGAGATTATAATTTTCCCATGCTGGGAGTAGCAAAATACATGGTCTCAGAAGTGTACTTCAACATAATTATCCTTCACGCTTTAAGACAAATAAAACTTGATACCCTCACCACTGTGGGTTCAAATCCCGACAGGGACTTTGGATTCTTTCATGTGAGGAAGCTATCCAGTTAGCTTACGGAACGTCGGTGGTTCTACTTAGGCGCCCGTTTGTGCCTGAATAATGCACGGAAGGGCACCTGAGGTCTTCCTCCACCAGTAAAGCTGGAAGGTCACCATCTGACCTATACTGTGTCGGTGTGACGTAAGACCCAATTAAACAAACAAAAAAAAACAAATAAAAGTTTCAATATTCTAAACTTCTTATTTATAGCTGTCAAGAAATAAAATTCACGAATAACGGAGGATTATGTAATTTTTGCAAAAAGGGCCAAGCCTTTGATAGTTTTGCAACCCATTTCCAAATGTTACATAACACATACCTCAAATGGTGACCAATTTGAAATTTTCAAACATGTTTATTTTATATTTACAAAGAGACCTTGAAGCAATTATTGATATTTTTAAATATAAAATTTTAGCATGGTATATTCTGCAAACTGATAATATAAGCTATATTATTTAAATTATAAGTATTACATGTAAGACACATATATGATTATCGTTTACATTTCAGGGCGCTGATGGCATGCCAGGTTCGCCTGGGGTACCAGGTGAGCGCGGTTCCCCCGGAGTGGCCGGTCTTCAAGGTCCACCAGGAGAGCCTGGTATCCCTGGAAACCATGGAATGAAGGTAACCGCTCAATTCTCTGACCAACAGTCATTATGTCCTTAAATTTAGTCAAAACAAAGGCATCGTAAGGTCATAATCCAGGATGAGGCAATATTTCTATGTAACATTTGATATCAGACATTGTGTCTAATTGTTATTTGTCTCCTTTGCGGATTTAGAAATCAATTGGTTAGTAGTCGGTCACTTTCGAAGAAACAAATTTATTTGTATGTTGTTTTTTACGTCAATTTCAACACAATGTTTGTTCACATCGCTAACCAGCTTTCTCGCATAACCGGTACTTACCAGTTTTGTATAAATAGAGATAAGCAAACAAAAAAGGGGGAACAAGAATAAGTCAAAGTTTTAATTATTGTTACAGGGACAGAGAGGTGATCAGGGAGAGCATGGTCTTCCAGGGAATTCAACTATCGGACCTGAGGGCCAGCTGGTAGACCCGGCCCTCCGGGTAAACCCCGGTTCCTCCAGGGCCTCGAGGTCCCAACTGTTCCATTATGGATATTGACTTAGACACAGAGGGCTCTGGAGAGTTGGCAGTAGGTGGATCTAATTGTGGAAATGGTGAACCTGGTGTAAAAGGTGAACCTGGTGAGAAAGGAGAGAAGGGCGACACCGGAGCTACCGGACCTAAAGGATCAATGGGAGATACAGGCGAACCAGGACGTCCTGGTCCTGTTGGACCTGAAGGTCTCATGGGACCCCAGGGTGAACCAGGATCTACAGGAATTATGGTAAGTATATAGTAACACTAAGGACAAGACGCTGGTGTCATAGTGTAGTTTTGAACCAGTGACATACATTTAACATGGAAAATGTTTGGATATATGCTGAAAGTCACGTTGTGCCTGATTTGTATTTTTATGCTTACTTTTACTTAAATCCTACAGTATTGACAGTGATAACTTTGCTAGGGTTATGCTTGATTTAACTTGAATTGAGTTTATGAATGACGTTTTCGGGAATTTTGATCCCAATTTTTTTTAACTTATGCTCCCACAGTGAAGTGTCTGTTATTTTAGTCTGAGTATGAACACAACATTTCAATATCAAACAGGCATCCATACAGTCTACCAGAAAAACACACTAACTTGTCTTATGTTATTTCTGTTTAATTATAAAATTTGTTAAAAAAAAATCTGAAAAAAACATGTGAAGGAATTGACTCGAGCAATGCAAGCTGTAGAATTTGATTTTTTCTTGGCGCCAAGGTCTATGAGCTTTATACGGAGGCAAGCGTTATAACGGGGCGTGTTATAATGGGTCAGCAGTGTATTTCGTATATAGAAAATAACTGTATTGTCATCAGAAAACTTAAATGTGTAAGAAATACAATTCCAACCCCCATTATACCGTGCCCGTTATGACATCCACATTATAACACTAATTTCTTGAGGGGCTGAAAAAAAACAACAAATGAGCTGCGCCATAACAAAACCAGCTTAAAACTTTATAACAAGTCGCAAACCCATCATGTTGGTTTTGTCATGGCGCGGCACAAATGTGCATGTATACATTAATGTCAGATTTGTGATAATAATCAGCTGTATGTTACAACAGGGTCCTAAAGGAGATATGGGCGATAGAGGACTTCCCGGTTTAACTGGACCTGCTGGACCACCAGGGCCGGCTAGCCTACTTTCTGGACAGGAAGCAGTTGCAGGGCAAAAGGTAAAACATAGTAAATGAATCAAATTAAATTTCTTTAATATATGATAATTATATCGGACATTAAATTTTTATGCCCCCGCCATGTAATGGCCGGGGCATATAGTGTTTCCCTATTCCGTCATTCCGTCATCATCAGTTACCGTTCATTATCTTAGTAATGGTTGCATACATTCCAACCAAATTTCATATATGGATATGTAATGAGAAAATACAGGTGAAGTTCAATTTGGTCATGTTTCAATGATTTTTGGCAGAGTTATGCCCCTTTTACTTTAAAATAATATGAAATTTTCAGTTTCCGTTCATTATCTCCCCAATGGTACAACACATTCAACTCAAACTTGATATATGGATATGTCATGAGAAAATACAGGTCAAGTTCGAATTTGGTTATGGTTCGATGATTTTTGGCAGAGTTATGCCCCTTTTACTTTGAAAATAATATGAAATTTACAGTTTCTGTTCATTATCTACCCAACAGTGTTACATATTCAACTCAAATTTGACATATGGATATGTCAAAGGAATGGGCAGGTCAAGTTGGAATTTGGTCATGGTTCAATGATATTGGACAAACTTATCTTTATGAATGTTGGAAAAAATTTCAGTATTAGCACTCATACTTTTGTGGAAATGTATGTAGCCATTATTTTGGCTACAAATATGCAATATGCTATTTTCAAAAGGTAAAGACTGAATAATTTCAGTGCCTTGAACATTGTATGAAAATGGTTTGTGTTAACATTGAAAAGTTTTAAGGGCTTTGAACTTAAAATGAAAAAAATAATTTGTGCAAACAAATTTGGAACTAAATATTATAACATCTGAAATTTTGGCTGCATGCGGGGGCATCCGTGGCATGATGACACATTTTTATTTCATAATTAAGTCATGATCCCAATAACATATTATATTGAAGACAAATAAAATAACATTGTTTCCTGTGATGAATATCTTTGTCATATGTTAAAGCTTATGACTGAAAATGCTATGCTTAAACTTATTTGCTTTAATAAAAACATTCTAACAAATAATGATCTATTTTTTTCAGGGAGAGCCCGGTGAAATTGGACCTATAGGACCTATCGGCCCAAGAGGACCACCCGGAAAACAGGGTGAAATAGGCTACCCAGGATTCCCTGTAAGTACATGTATATATGAGCCATGCCAGGACAAAACCAACGTAATGGGTTAGCTTACAAACCCTATTACAAGCAGAGAAACTGAAAGCAAACAGCATGGATCCTGATCAGACTGCAGAGATGCGCAGGCTGGTCTGTATCCATGCTGGTCACAAACGCAAAATGTTGTGACGCGGTTCATATATTCATATGCAAGTTTGATTTATTTTAAAGCTGCACACATCTGAATAAGTAAACTAAATTTTGATTAAAACAAAAAATCAAATTGGAGAAAAAATACTTTGAGTGTAAGAAATGATATATATATTCACAATAAATGTAAATTTTTGAATGTTTTAGATATCATTAATATTATAGAACTGTTATTTTTATCACAAAAGTCTCAGACTAAGTAAGGATAATTTCTATGTACATTGTAGTTTAACATAATAGTGGTAGTTGATATGGATATTGCTTTACACCAGGTTAAATAACTTTGTTGACTTTACAATATTTTTACTCATAAGAACAGTTTTTATGCTTTCATAAAAATAAACACAAATCTGGTGGCATGTTGCTTTAAGGTTCAGTTTTCTATAATTATAACTCTTTGCTATTGAACTACATTCTTGAAATACATGAAATTTAGCATTCGTTTTTATTAGTTGTTTTTTTTTTACAAAAATTTCTTTTAAAAATATACATTATAAATGATTATACTTTGATTGCTGATAAAGTTTTTGCAACACCATGAGATTACCCATGTACAGGTAAAAATTTGGAGCTCAAACAATTATCTTTACTGCAAAAAATAATGCTGCCTTGACAATATTTTCATTAAAATCTCAAAATTACCAATTACATGTATCTGTATTGTATAATGTAAATGGCGGTAAGGTTGCTTAGCAACTATTATATTATGTATAATTTGGGTATGCCATCTCTTACAGGGTCCAAGAGGGTTCCGCGGCTTCCCTGGTCGTAAAGGAGAACGTGGTTATGGTACCCCAGGTAGGAAAGGTGATCCTGGACCTCCCGGTCCACCTGGCGCCGCAGTTTCATCTGCCGGAGAAGGAAGTAAAGGCGAACCGGTATGTATAAATAAGGAAATTCTGTTTGCTAGTTTCAATTTTCTTTTTCATCAATAATAAAGATGAAGAAACTTATTCTTGCATATCAGACTGGCGTTTCCATTAGTTTTACCCAGGCTGAAAATTTCATCTGGCATGTGGGATGCCAGCTAGATGAGTCGCATGCTGTACAATTACACGCTTAGGATGAAGTAATTTTTTTCATTATGACTGAACTTGTAATTCTATATGCTGCACGAAAATAGTTACAGGTGTAATGCCATAAATTTCCACGGAAAATAGTTTTATTAAGGTAAAAAGTTTAAAATTTAATGGAATATAGTAGAATATGCAAGAAAAAATATTTTTGTGATTAGGATCCAAATATCCATCCCTCTGCAAGCCTTGTTACAGCCATTTGGGACAGATATTTCAATCGGTATCACTGCGTTGACAGATATTATGATTCTTTTTCTCATGTAATAAAAGAAACTGAAATCTCTAGCATATAAATAATCTAATGTTTGAAATTAAGTACGGTAAGTTAGTTGTAAAAGTGTGGGGGGTTTTTTGTGTTTTTTTTTTAATAACCTGTACTGGTGGAATGTGAAGTCAACAGGTACATATACCTTATTCAGAAATCTTCCACTCTTTTTAACTTGAATTTTAAATTTTTTAGCTCGACTATTCGATAAGAATAAGTAGAGCTATTGTAGTCATCCGAGCGTCCGCGTAACCACTTATGTTAAAGTTTTTGTAATAGTTCAAATATTTTCAAAGTCCATTGACATATGGCTTTGAAACTTTGCACACTTGTTCACCATCATGACCCCAACCTGTAGACAGGAGGAGGTAACTCTATCAAGCATTTTGACAGAATTATGCCCCTTTTTCGACTTAAAATTTACGTTAAAGTTTTTTGTAATACCTCAAATATTTTCAAAGTCCATCGACATATGGCTTTGAAACTTTGCATACTTGTTCACCATCATGACACCAACCTGTAAACAGGAGTAGGTAACTCTATCAAGCATTATTTTTTACTATCAAGCACTAGAATAGTTGAGCGTTGCTGTCCTACCGACAGCTCTTGTTTATTTAATTTGTGATTTTTTATTGGTGGTTACAAATACTTTAAATATGAATTAAGTTTCATATTATTTGATAATCATACAGAGTATCAATATTTAAAATACATGCCATAATCTCCCGGACATCCAGGAACGTCCCGGAAATAAGGTGTCTGTCCCGGAGGCGTCCTGGAGATAATTTTCAGTGATGAATAAAAATCGTAATATATGTGGTTTTAATGCTTTAAATATGAATTAAGTTTCAGACAGCTTGATTTTATAAGCAATCTGATATTATCTCAAAAGTGAAACTGAATTTCAATGTTTTCAGTGATAAACATATTGGTATTTCAGGGTGTACCTGGACGAGATGGAAAACCAGGTGAAAAGGGAGACTCTGTGAGTATAATCAATTTCTAGTCATCAAAAAATAAATTTTAATTGAATGAACTGAAAAAATAAATTGATTAAATTAATTTTGACACATAATTTGCACAATGGTCATAGAGTAGTTATTGTTCCAGGATATAAATAATACCTTGATAACATTCTATATTTAGTGGCATATAACCTGTCTTGTTGTTTTTTTTTCTGGCCACTGTTTAATTGAATTTTAAAACCATAATATTAGTACTGTACATTTTGTTTTGAACTTTTGATAATAAGTTTATTTAGTCTTATTCCTTGCATTAATTCTAATTAATTACTGTAGCCAGTTTGTTAAAGTTGCCGACTTCAAATCATTGTTTCGCTCTTCTGTGGATGTGGAAAAAAAAATCTGGAGAAAGAGTGATCTTTTGGAAGCATTAATGAAGACAAAATTACATGAAAATTGCAGGCTTGGTTTGATTGAGTCTGTAAATGAGGGATAATGAAAAACTGAAACATCCCTCATGCTCCTTAACACAGACTTGAGTGGTACTCAATTTTTAACACTTAAAGAGCTGGCATTATTAATCCTATCAGAGACTTTGGTATTCTTTCATGTGAGAAAGCGTGCTTGTTAGGTACACAAGTTCCAAGTTCGTGCCTGAAATATTACACAGAGGGGAACCTGGGGTTTTCTTCCACCAGTAAAGCAGAAAACTCACCATGTGAGGTCTATAGAGACTGTATGACAGGAAAACACAACATTTCCTGCATTGTCTAAAATGTTTTTTTCTTTTGACATCAATAAATCCCTGAAAGGTTGGTATGGACCTTTCCAGTTTTTCGTAGCGGAACATTTAGCCTTCATTGCTAGGTCAACTGCTCACAAACAGTATCACAAACATAACCATGTGTTCTTTTGTGCAAACCAGGTCAACCGGTGACTATGTATTATCTCAGTGTAGCAAATGGATAACAAGTAAGCCAAATTACATAAATCTGTAAACACTGGAAAGGTCCATTCTCGAGTGTCGGCCATTTTTATTTTGTAAGTACACAATACATATTTCAATATTTACGACAGGGAGATGTCGGCCCTAGAGGACCACCCGGACTTCCCGGAACACCAGGAATTCTTTCTGATCAAGGAACGTTTGGAGGTCAAGGACCTATTGGGCCACAGGTATATATATATCACAACTATTCTGCATTAAAAGTTATGAAAGTTTTTAAAAAAACTGAATTTTCCAGTTGCACCTTTGGTAAGGAAGTATGTGAAATTTTAACTGAGGATGAGCATAAAAGGAAATATATATTTTATCAATAGATTCCTAATCTTACACACAGCAGTATCTGAATATATGAATCAATATAAGTGGGTGTCTGTTAAATAAAAAGAATCATCATATGTCAGCCATCTTGTTTCTAAACATATATTTAAAATATACCAATGTTAGAAATCTTTGTCTCGTTAATTGAAAATTTAGTCAATTTTTGTACCATTTCATGTATAGGGTGTATTCAACCAATTTTAACTTGAGAAATTTATTTACAGTCTTACATTACTCCTATTAAACAATGAAAGGCCAGATTAAATTGCCCTTTAAGGATCTCCATTTAAGGTCCAAAAGTCTTATATAAACTAAAATCTTGAATCCTTAGATGCATTCATTGGGGCACTTAAAACAGAAAATATGTGAAAAAAAATTATAAAGAAGAAATATACTCAAAATTAAATTAACATTTTTGTGCAATTCTTGGCCCGATGTGAGGTAAAAGAATTTAAAGTAGTCTTACTGTAATGCTTTCCGGCCAAAAAAAATCTGGCAAATGTCGGCCAATGTCACAATAAATTGGTCTTTTCCGAAATGTTATTTTTCATAATTTAAAGAAATTAGTATTCAATAAATCTTAACTATTTATAACATGAATTTAGTACATATTCGTAATACCTAAGATTTTGAAAAAATAACGTTCCAGAAATAATCGATTTGCTACGATATTTGCAGATGTTAAAATTTTTTTGGCGGGAAAGCATCACAGTATGACCACCTTAAAAGCTTCCTTTTTGGGACTCCATGGAAATTTAATATGGTAGAATATGGAATACAGACAGACACTGTTTACACTGTCATGTTCTTAAAAAAAACATTGATTTCAATGATATATTTTATATTGTAGGGTCCACCTGGTCCCCAAGGTCCACCAGGATATCCGGGTCGGGACGGTCTACCAGGACGGGATGGTGTAGGAGAGAGGGGTCCAATGGGACCACCAGGTCCGGCAGGTGATGGATCTGGTAAAATGGGACCCCCAGGCCCGCCAGGACCTCCAGGCAGACCAGCATCCGGGGATGACAGTTCAAGCTCGTCAGGGGTAATTTTATCTTCTTTTCTTAAAAAAAATGACATTTTATGAAAGTTATTTTTGTAGCTGGATTTTCAAATAAAAGTCATGACTTAAAATTGGAGCATTCACCTTCCTATGTGTAAATACATTGTATATCTTTAAAAAAATCAAGCCAAGATAAAAACATTCATAGTTCAAGAAAATAAAAAAAATCCAGATTACCTTTTGAATGTATTAAATTGTATGTAAAATATGACCAAATTTTGCTCATTGGAACAATTTTTAAATTTTCATGCAAATTAAGTTTTTACAGCCTCTTCTATTGAGCAAGTGTAAAATGTGTATTTTTTTTGATAAGCCAGTCAGGGCCTTCTTAACTCTCTTGTCTTTTTCAACAGGCACCAGTACAGTTTCAGAATGCAGATGAGCTGCAGAGAGGGGCTCGTAGGGCTCACATTGGTACACTTGCATTCGTAATGAACACCGAGTCTTTATATATCCGAGTTTCCCAGGGCTGGAGAAGTGTTTCGGTAAGAAAAAGTCTTGAACAACAATTTAACCTAAACCTAAGCTTCATTCCAACTCTGCTGTCAAAGCAGTAAGTTGAAATGACAAACAATGCTGGAATGGCAAATAATTTTGCTATAGAGAACACAGAGAAAATTCGTTTGACGATTTGACTGGCTGAACAGTCTTAACATTGAACACTTGTTTTATACAGGTGTAGATGATAATGTAATTATTTAAGTTGTTGTGCTTTGACATATTTATATAGAGACTTAATTATAACTGAAGCTTTTATGTATATTGAAGGAGCTCATTAAACTGCACATGTAGATAGATACGCCCACAATTTACAATATCTACGCCCACAATTTGCATAGCCACTCCTACCAAAGAGCTTAAAGCCAATGTGCCTATAGCCACTCCCACCAAAGAGCTTAAAGCCAATGTGCCTATAGCCACTCCCACCAAAGAGCTTAAAGCCAATGTGCATATAGCCACTCCCACCAAAGAGCTTAAAGCCAATGTGCCTATAGCCACTCCCACCAAAGAGCTTAAAGCCAATGTGCCTATAGCCACTCCCACCAAAGAGCTTAAAGCCAATGTGCATATAGCCACTCCCACCAAAGAGCTTAAAGCCAATGTGCATATAGCCACTCCCACCAAAGAGCTTAAAGCCAGTGTGCATATAGCCACTCCCACCAAAGAGCTTAAAGCCAGTGTGCATATAGCCACTCCCACCAAAGAGCTTAAAGCCAATAATTCAAATAGTGTGGAAATATATGTCAATGTAATCTATGTGGCTTAACCACTCTCTGCCTTACTCTACATTTCATTGTGCTTCTTGTACTGTTTAATGCTAAATGTTTCACCATTGGCATAACAAAAATTGTTTTAAAGTATTTATTAATTGTCATAATATAAGAGACACCAGGCTGTGAAATATAATTTACCTTGTGGTACAGATTTCTTTATTTATATTTATTTATTTTTGTGACAGTCTTGTTTAAAATAAAGCCCCAAATATCGCATCCTGTTAGGTTGCACAGGTATAAATTCGAACTTGTACCCCAAATTTCAATAATTTTGTTCTTGATTAGAAGGTCAAATGATTCCCAAAATTGCTTTCATTTCATTTTATTTCATAAAAAAAAAACTTTTTTATCTTTGGTGATCTATTACACTGTCAGATTCATTGGTCATTATTATAGCCAAATTGTGTTGTTTTTTCTTTAACCAGAAGTTAAACAGTTGTGACTTCTAAAAAAAGACAGAATACCACTTTCTGAAACATAAGCTTGAAACTTTCTGTATGCTCTTAACACTGTCTGTGTGACATAAAACAGAAAAAACTACATTTATGTTGTGTGAACAATTCTGTTACACAGCCTGGTGATTTTCAGTTTAAAGACACATTATGCTTCAGAAATTATTACATTTTTGCAATTTTCCGAAACGGCAAACTTGAGTATTATAAAATTTAAGTAATGGTTTAAGAGGATGTTTAAGATGCTTGTTACCTGGGGAAAGTTAAGCTATAGTTATGATATTATTTCTCATAAAAGTAGAAAATGTAAACAAGTAGTATTTTTACTTCCATACAAAATACTAAATCACTATAACTGTACTTATTGCCAAAAATGCAACAGATTGTTCAGGTAATTAATTAGCCAATGAGCAACTTTTTTGAAACTGTAAAAGTACACCAAAGATAAAAAACTTTTGGGAAATGAAAATAAAAGCATTTCTGAGACACAATGGGCCTTTAATAAAAGATTATAGTATCTGCTTTGTTCAACATATGAGCCACGCCATGACAAAAACCAACATAATGCGTTTGCGACCAGCATGGATCCAGACCAGCCTGCGCAGTCTGATCAGGATCCATGCTGTTGGCTTACAAGTAGGGAAACTGATAGCCAACAGCATGGATCCTGATCAGACTGCGCAGATGCACAGGCTGGTCTGGATCCATGCTGGTCCCAAACGCACTATGTTGGTTTTGTCGTGACGCGGCTCATATATATTCTTACAGAAGCCTCTCATTAAGGCCAAGAAATACATGTGTTGTCTTTAATACGAGGTCTGTATATCATGTAGGGTAAACATATATATATATAGAGCTTTTTACATATATATCTATGTTTGATTTTACAGCTAGGTACCGACTTGATTGAACTGCTCCCAGAAACTCCAAAGGTAAGAACGTCTCTTTTTACTGATATATTTATTTACTGATATATTTTTGATGATGTTTCCTGATTCATATCATTTATATAGTTGTGTGATATATATACCCGTTTTAGTTTATTTAGAGAATATTGTGGTATGAGAACTAAATTATTTTAATTTCAATCAAGTGTATCAATAGTAAATTTTATATGGATGTGTTTGATTTATAGAGGAAATCTTTCTTTGATATTCTACTTTAATTCTTACTGTAATTTGTAATATTATCTTATTCATGCATTTGAAAAATTTATGTAATTTAGATTTGGTATAGGAAGTATAAAGTTTTGACGTATTTATTCTGACTCCAAATGTTTAAATGAGCATGTAAATAGGAAAAAATATAATACCGTATTGTCTTCATTTAATGCCCCCCGGGGGCATGTATTTTTTCCAAGAGGGGGAGGGGGTGCGTTTATTAAAACTACAAACATGTGCTTTGAAATATGTTTATTAAAGATAAACATAGATTATAAAAATCATTATTCATTATTAATGTCTAATATATAATACAGGACTTTTTTTAATGATTTTACTTTACTGGAGTGTCATTATTTGATATTTTTTAAATAAAAATATTTTGATTTTTTGGATTGTTCTTTTATTATTGTAGGGAAAGATTTTTTTCTACAAAATGTGGTGGGGGGTGATAATTATAGGGGGGGGGGGGGGGGGGTGTTGACTGGAAACAATTCGGTATATATTGTACATGTACGATTCTTGTCACCCAGTCACCCAGCAATAGCATAGAAATTATAGAAATTAAAATCTTATACATTTATAGCGTTGAAAAACAATATTTTAAACATACTTTTCACTTGATGTTACAAACCATGAAAAGGGAAGGTTAAAGAAAGTGTTAAATTATTTGTCTGGTGGTAAAAAGTCTTACAGTGTATAGACAAATTGGCTGGTAAAAAGAACAACATGAAAATTTGCTAAATTCTATATGTTGTTTATTTGTTTTGAGCCTTATTTTAAGAAACTTAACAGATTAGGTGTAACCTAAAGATTAAGTGTACAATAGTACAATTATGTAGGTGTAAAACATCTAGACTAAAGTTTGAGGGTTTGTTGTTAGATTCTGTTTCAACTTCAACAATCCACACGGGTTTAATTACTGGTTACTACACCCAGGAAATGCAGGTCAACTGTCTCAGCCTTAAGCACATGTTTGACAAATAAACAAAGAGAGGATACTCATAAGCTTTCATAGCTTTCTGACTTATCCCAAAAAAGTATTGTGTAAATATTGTTCATCATGCAAGATGTAAAAATATATTGGATAATATATTTAAACCAAACAAAACAAATAAAAAGAAACAGACCATAGCAGTAGTGCTCAAATCCTTATCTAGATCAACATAATTCTTTTTGGTATTGAGCTAATTGACAGTACCTTACATTTACGCAGTCAGTGGCCTTGTGGTTAATGTGTCTGCCACTCAACCTAGGGCACATTGGTTCAAGCCCTATTCAGGTCACGACCATGATTTCTCCTAATGACATCATTACTGGTTAGTTCCAGGAAGCCAACTCAAAAGTGATTAATATAATTTGCCAGAAATTGTTTGGCTATCGAGTTAAAGATAAATGTTTAAACTAACCTTATCATTATTTCATTATTTGTCATTGCATTTTTTTTTGTATTTTGGTGTTGCAGAATATAGTTCTACCTTTCGAGAGGGTAATACAAACATCGCACTATCATTTCTCATCATCATCATAAAATAATCCATGTTTGCAAACAATTGCCTGTTGTCATACAAATTACACATATCTTCTTGTAGTACAATGTCTCAGGAACGCTTTTGTTCAAAATATATATCTGGTCTTGTGCAGGCTGTCCAGTATCCAGAAAATTCCTAAAAAATCCTATTTTTTCTTCAATTTGGCTAAAATTCCTAAAAAAAAAAAAGAGGAAAAATTCAAATCGAATTTCTAAAAAATGCCCTATTTTTTCACTTAAATTCCTAAAAAAAATTATCTTTGGTTATAAACATACTAACAACTTAGAAAATAGGCAGTTAAAGGCAGTTGACCAGTGAATCCATTTATTCACTAATGACTATGGAACACTCGGTAGACACCTTTGCAAAACTAAACTAGATCATTATTTGTGAGTTACTTTTGTGTCAAATATACAAAGTTAAGCCCATATGGTCTTCTTTGGGCCATAGTTAAGTTATAATATTCCAAATTTTAGAAGATGCTGGACAGCCTGTGTGCTTTGCAAAAAATAATTCTTAGAAAAAGTGGCAAAGTGCTGCGGATATTAAGTAAAATTTGTACAAGATTTGTGCAGTCAGATTGGTAAAAAATCACACAAACTGCTGTTACACAAACTGCTGTTATAAAAAATGCTGTTACACAAACTGCTGTTATATACGAGACACTCATTTAACTCAGGCACTGCTTATACTTCTACTGTATTTCTATTTCCATAAAAGGAGGGTTTGGGGTAATTAACATTAATTCTGTTTAAATTAGTACTTTTTTTGCAATTTTTAATGTTTAAAGCAGCCTACAGGTTTTATTATTTGTTGGAAAAAACAGTTCTGTGCAGTTTCCAAACTAAGTATTATAGTATTATTACTTAGGAAAAGTTCATCGTATCACTGTTAAGCCTTCTTCAAAACAGCGCCTCGAGAGCTATTTATAGCGTTGGGTCATGTTTGTTTCTAAAAATAGAAGATTTGGGAAACTAATTTACAAACAGAGACTGGATGGGCAGATTAGAGGTATCAAGGGGTATCCTTATCGTTTATGTATTTTATTGATGACAAATTTCATTTTATAACTTATAATTCTTTTGATTAGACATTTATATGAAACAATTCATTATTTTAAAAATAACATATTTAAATTTTAGAAAAGGTGAAGGCCACTTTAAGTCATAGTAAAAAGTATGTTTTACGTATGTTAAATTAAATCAAATAAAAATACCTTAGACATTGTACAATGGGATGTTATAATAATGTCACAGGAAAACAGGAACTCACTGGTTATATACATGTATGTCGCAGGTTTATACCTTTAAATAACTTTCTGTTGTCTGAAAAATACTAAATTAAAACTTTATAGTATCATATCACTATGTTTGTCATCGGAAATATGTTACTATATTTAAACTGTTGTTTGTGTGTTACTATATTTAGAATGTCATTGGAAATATGTTACTATATTTAGAATGTCATTGGAAATATGTTACTATATTTAGACTGTCATTATGTGTCATTAAAAATTTGTTACTATATTTAGACTGTCATTACGTCATTGGCAATATGTTACTATATTTAGAATGTCATTACATCATTGGAAATATGTTACTATATTTATTTACTGCTGTTTGCTATTGGAAATATGTTACTAAATTTAGACTGTTGTTTGTTATTGGAAATATGTTACTATATTTAGACTGTATAATAATGCCACTGGGTACATAATTATTACTTACTATACAGTTTGTAACTATATCTAGTCTTGCATATAATTTCATTGTAAACTTACAACTGTTTTATGAATTCTAAAATTTTGGTAACAATGCATTTTTTTTGCTCATGATATAGATGAGCTCTGCAAATATACTGAACAAATCTGGTCCCCCGATTGCTAAAATAGTTTATTTTTTCCCAACATGGAGTCAAACATTTGCTTTTGATACAAAAAGCTCTTCAAGTCACCTTGTATATTTACCCAATTACCCCCATGCTCTTTGTAAAAGGTTTGGGAAGTTTTTGTATTCATTTGTTCAACAGTATGAAAGTTTAAAGGTACTACACTGAGGTCCAAACCCCTAAAAACACAAAATTTGAATTACTTACATAAATATTTAGTGGGGGAACTTAAAAACATACAGATATGCAAAAGATAATTTAGAAATATACATGTACTCAGAAATAAATTGAAAATCGTGTTTGTGTTATTAAATAGCTCGATTTAAGTGAAAAGCATTGCAACACTTTTCAATTTTTGGTTATTTCTTACAATAAAAAAAGTCATTCTGGAAAAAAACAGATTTAGCTAATGATCTGTCATTTTGCACACATGTTATTGGTCTAGACCTACGTCAAATGGAATATTAATCTCAAAAAATATTGCCAGTCCCGTCTTGTCAAAAAAAACTCAGTGGTCAGATAATGGTTTCAGAAAGCTTTATTCATTTAAATTTTATATGTATGTATTTTTATTTAAAAGTTAACTGTATGGAACCCTAAAGTAAACATAAAATTTAGTGGGTAGTTACGTTTTACATCTTAATTGGTTTATCAAAATATATTGAATTTCATGTATAGTTAGAATACATTTGTTAAAATAGCCAATGATAGAATAATTTACTGCTACACATGTCACATTACTGTTGCCTCTAACAACATCTTATTGAACATCAGTATAAAAAGTGCCCCTTGTGACTGAGGGGTTGCCTTTACGGGTTGAGGCATTAGAATTGCAGCTACTGTTCAACCCTGGGTGATTGTAAGAGGCAACAAACTTGGTCCAGCTTACTGGAATCTATGCATTAGGTGTCAAGTAGTTTTGACCCTTGGTGTTGATTTAAGTTTGTAACACCTGTGGTTAGCCAGAAACATCTTTCCTGTTTTGGTGCCATATGACCTAAATTAAACAAGAAGTAGACTTCTACCTATTTAAATTGTAATTTGAAATGCATGTATTTCCATTGTTGGGTTCTTATAGTTATCTTCTGGAAAAACAAACACTCATCTTTTCATTACTATGACCTCCACAAAAGTGCTTAATGTTTACTTAAAGATGATCTAAGGTAATATTCCAAAACATCGTTGGTAGCTTTTTGTTATGTTTTTTGAAAGGAAAGTTGGGAGACATGATTTTACTTTATTAGTTAAAGTTAAGATTACCGTATGTGCATTTTGTTAACTTTAAGCACCTATAGATTTAACACAGTTGTATTCTTGTAGAGTACAAAGCTTCCACGTATATCACCTTTGGCAAAATAACCTTATTATTAATAGGCCAGACTCTTGTTTTCCCTCCTATGACCCATGCCAGTATTGTTAGGATAGGTAGGTAATTAAATTAATTTTTTTATCCAAAAATACTTTTTATGCCAACGCAGCATCTGCGATGCGGTGGCATATAGCGATTCACCTGTGTGTTTGTTTGTGTGTGTGTGTGTGTGTTATATAGATTATATAGTGAACTTGAAAAATCTTCTTGTGAAAAACCACTAGTCCAATTTCAACCAAACTTGGCAGGATTGATCCTTGAATGAACCCCTTCCAAAGTTGTTCAAAGAATTTCATTCCATGCAGAATTCTGGTTGCCATGGCAACCAAAAGGAATTATAAGAATAAATTTAAAAAATCTTCTTGTAAAGACCCAAAAGGCCTAGAGCTTAGATATTTTGCATAAGGCATTGTCTGGTAGACCTCTACCAAGATTGTTCAAATTATAGCCCTGGGGTCCAAATCGGCCCCGCCCCGGGGGTCATTGATGTACACTATATGTACATATAGTAAAAACTTAAAATACCTTCTTGTCTGAAGGTACAAGGCTTAGAGGTTTGATATTTGGTATGTGTTATTATCTATAGGTACTCTACCAAAGTTGTTCAAAGTTTGCCTCTAGTGTCAAAGTCAGCCCCACCCCGGGGTTCATGGTTTTTCATATATGTATATAGTAAAAACTTCAAAAAATCATCTTCTCTAAATTCACAAAGGCCAGAGGTTAGATATTTTGCATGAAACATTGTGTAGTGAACCTTTAGCAAGAGTGTACAAATTATAGCCCTGGGGTCAAAATTGGCCCCGCCCTGGGGGTCATTGATTTTCACTATGTACATATAGTAAAAAATAAAAAAAATCATATTGTCTGAAGGTACAAGGCTTAGAGGTTTGATATTTGGTATGTGTTATTATCTATACGTACTCTACCAAAGTTGTTCAAATTTTGCCTCTAGTGTCAAAATTAGCCCTGCCCCTGGGGTCATAGGTTTTCCTCATATGTATATAGTAAAAACTTAAAAAATCATCTTCTCTAAATTGACAAAGGCTAGAGGTTAGATATTTTGCATGAAACATTGTGTAGTGAACCGCTAGCAAGATTGAACAAATTATAGCCCTGGGGTCAAAATTGGCCCCACCCCCGGGGGTCATTGATTTTCACTATGAACATATAGTAAAAAATTAAAAAATCTTATTGTCTGAAGGTACAAGGCTTAGAGCTTTGATATTTGGTATATGATATCATGTATAGGTACTCTACCAAAGTTGTTCAAATTTTGCCTCAAGTGTCAAAACTAGCCCTGCCCCGGGGTCATAGGTTTTCCTTACATGTATATACATGTAGTAAAAACTTTAAAAAATCATCTTCTTGAATTGACAAAGGCTAGAGGTGAGACATTTTGCAGTAAACATTGTGTAGTGAACCTTAAGCAAGATTATTCAAATTAAAGCCCTGGGGTCAAAATTGGCCCCGCCCCTGGGGATCATTGATTTTCAGTCACTATGTCATAAAGTAAAAAATTAAAATTCTTATTGTCTGAAGGTACTAATCTTATAATAACAGATAGGTAAGTGATCTATGCATTATGGCAATCTGTATAGAAACAAAAAAAATGTGTTCCTACATTACTATTTAGTGTTGTATTTATGCGGTGGCATGGCATTTTTTACAAATGCAATCTTGTTTCTGTCTAAAATTATGGCATATTCAAAACAAACTGTGAATGCTTTTGGCATCTATTTAAAGTTTAGAACCATATTTTCAAAGTATTATTCAACATTATTCATGTTTGGTAAAAGAGAAATATATTATTTTTTTTGCTTTAATAAAAAATTTATGGATGCAGTGATTTTTGTGGGTTACTAAGGTAGCGGGAGGGAAACAAACAATATTTTATTTTAGGCCAGATAGGCACATTTAAATTAGTTAATCAATTAACAATTGATATTTTTGACATTTCACAATTTTATAATTATTCTCCCTTTGGAAACCAGGAATTTATGTTTCCTGCATGTATTAAAAATATTTCTTTAATTATTACAACAGGTGCTTTCTGCGTTCCAAAAAAACCCCCCAAACAAGCCTGCTCATGTTTTGAGTTTTTAATAAAACCAGAATTTTTAGGTAAAATACAATCTTAAATACAAAAAAAAGTTCCAAGTCACGTGACCTGATTTGCATATTTTTTTGCAGGAAAATTCTACCACTAGTAGTGCTACAACAGTTGTATCGGTAAATAGTTGTTAAACGTTTATCACATGTTCTCATTTTTTATTTTTCCCCCTTTGATTATATGATTTTGGTTGTTTGAAAGCACAATTACTTTTGCCAGCTTTTTTAAATCTTTATTTAATACTTTATCATTGTTGTTTTTTTTAACCCTTATTTTGTTAAAGGATTTGTCCAGTTTCCATTTTTGGAACTGTCCATGATTAATTTTTAGGGATGTGAAGATGGAAAAAATTTAAAGTGAGTCAGCTATTAGTATAGAGATTTGTCAGGCTGCAGGAATACTCAGACTAGCCTGGTTCCTATACTGGTGTTAAAAGTTTGATCACAATTGGGTTCCACAACAAGTTCCAGGTTATGCCAATAATAGATTTCATCCAATCAAGAACTGTCATTTAAAGCAAAAAAAAATGTTCAGACAACTTCATTTGTAACATGTAATTATATTTTATGATATGATAAAAGTAAGAAACAAATGTGCATTTTGTTATGAACTTGTCACTTTATGGATATGAGATATGTGTTTTTATATTTACTATGATTATTATCAAAAAAAGTGAAATAAGATCACAGAATAAAAAATGATAATTGAATGTCTAGAATGAAATTTTAGTCTTAGAAATAACAAAATCCTAGGAGTCAGTTTGAGGAGCTTATGGGGGCTGTGCCTCCAGGGCCCCCACCAGAACGCTGACCTGGCCTATGCTGCCCCCTAGCTAGCTTAAGCCCCGGCAAAATGCCCTGATGACAGTAGATGTTTTGAGAAAAGATAATATCAAAACAGCATAGGATTAAAATATCACATTAGGATGTGATTAGATAGGAAAGTTGCAGGCTTACCTGACCTCATACTAATGGTTTAAAATATATTAACTTTGTCAAAATAAATTCTCTGATGAATAGATGAAATATTGGGTCAGTTTTAAACTTTGGAAGACAATGCTTTTTAGTCATATCTTAAATAAATATTACATGTTATACTAAATTTAGTTGACTGAACACTTTAAAATGAATGAATAAAATAATTATGTCCATTTTATTTTTTTTCATTAGTATTTAATATTTTAATATATTAATATTTGTACTAATAATTTAGTGTACTGTAGTGATAACTAGATTTAGGTGAATGTTTTGATTTTTTGGTTGTTTTTTTATCTCTAGTAGATACATTGATTTATTAAATGGTTTTATTATATACCTGTACAAATATTGCTAGAATCATTTATTGCACGAAACACAATCATGCACAAATACAGTCACAACCCAACTGGCAAAATAATCTATATTACATGTATAATTATATGATCAGGAATGTAACATTGCTAAATTATATTATTACCGTATGTAAATGGTTTGAATCTCTTATAAGACAAGTTTTTCTAGCACAAGTGTATTAAGGAGATAATCCTGATATAATATAGCTAAGAACTTTGTGGTTGTTGTAACAAAGAAATAATGGGGACCACGTTTTAGTGCATTATTTTAATAGGAAAGAAGGTTATTTATGTTCTGCTCGCTTTTCTTTAGATGAAATTTTTAAAAAGTTTCATTTTTTGTAGCTGGTAGTGTTTTAATCAATTTTATATTCTCCCTTTGAAAACCAGGAATTTATGTTTCCTGCATTGATATTTCTTTAGTTATTACAACAGCATTCAACAGATGTTTTCTGCGTTCCACAAAATAACCCCAAAAAAACAACCTGCTCATGTTTTGAGTTTTTAATAAAACCAGAATTTTTAGGTAAAATACAATCTTCACCAGTGTATTATAGAAACACAAAAAACAGCAGTGCCAAGAAATTCCTAGCTGTCCCGATTTTTTTGGGAATTCAAACAAAAAAGTTCCAAGTCATGTGACCTGATTTGCATATTTTTTTGCAGGAATTATCTACCACTAGTAGTGCTACAACAGTTGTATCGGTAAATAGTTGTTAAACGTTTATCACATGTTCTCATTTTTTATTTTTCCCCCTTTGATTATATGATTTTGGTTGTTTGAAAGCACAATTACTTTTGCCAGCTTTTTTTTTAATCTTTATTTAATACTTTATCATTGTTGTTTTTTTTTTAACCCTTATTTTGTTAAATGGAGTTGTCCAGTTTCCATTTTTGGAACTGTCCATGATTAATTTTTAGGGATGTGAAGATGAAAAAAATTTAAAGAGAGTCGGTCATAAGTATAGAGATTTGTCAGGCTGTAGAGATACTCAGGCTGGCCTGGTTCCTATACTGGTGTTAAAAGTTTGATCACAATTGGGTTCCACAACAAGTTCCAGGTTATGCCTATCATAGATTTCATCCAATCAAGAACTGTCATTAAAAGCAAAAAAAAATGTTCAGACAACTTCATTTGTAACATGTAATTATATTTTATGATATGATAAAAGTAAGAAACAAAAGTGCATTTTGTTATGAACTTGTCACTTTATGGATATGAGATATGTGTTTTTATATTTACTATGATTATCAAAAAATGTGAAATTATAAAGGATCACAGAAAAAATAAAAGATAATTGAATGTCTAGAATAAAAGTTTAGTCTCAGAAATAACAAAATCCTATAGGAGTCACACCCAGGAGCTTAATATGGGGGCTGTGTCTCCAGGGCCCCCACCAGAACACTGCCCTGGACCTGCATGGGGGCTTACGCTGCCCCCTTAAGTCTCAGCAAAATAATATCAAAATAGCATACTAGGATTAAAATATCATATTAGGATGTGATTAGATAGGAAACTGGCAGGCTAACCTGACCTTAAAAATATAACTTTCTCAAAATGATGACTTGAAAATGAAAATAAAAAATTCTCTGATAAATACATGAAATATTGGGTCAGTTTTAAACTTTGGAAGACAATGCTTTTAAATCATATCTTAAATAAATATTACATGTAATACTAAATATAGTTGACTGAACACTTTAAAATAAATGAATAAAATAATTATTTCCATTTTATTTTTTTTCATTTGTATTTAATATTTTAATATATTAATTTTTGTACTAATAATTTAGTGTAATATAGTGATAACTAGATTTAGGTGAATGTTTTGATTTTTTGGTTGTTTTTGTTTTTTATTATCTAGATACATTGTTTTATTAAATGGTTTTATTATATACCTGTACAAATATTGCTTTAATTATCTATTGCACGAATCACATGCACAAATACATTCTCAACCAAACTGGCAAAAAAATCTATATTACATGTATAATTATATGATCAGGAATGACATTGCTTAATTATATTATTACTGTATGTAAATGGTTTGAATCTCTTATAAGACAAGTTTTTCTAGCACAAGTGTATTAAGGAGATAATCCTGATATAATATAGCTAAGAACTTTGTGGTTGTTGTAACAAAGAAATAATGGGGACCATGTTTTAGTGCATTATTTTAATAGGAAAGAAGGTTATTTATGTTCTGCACGCTTTTCTTTAGATGAGATTTTAAAAAGTTTCATTTTTTGTAGTTGGTAGTGTTAACTTAAACTTAGCTTATAAATAAACAGTTTTCATTTTGCTTCAATTAATATATATATCATGACAAAACCAACATAATGGGTTTGCGACCAGCATGGATCCAGACCAGCCTGCGCATCCGCGCAGTCTGATCAGGATCCATGCTGTTCGCTTACCAAGTCTATTACAAGTAGAGAAACTGATAGCGAACAGCATGGATCCTGATCAGACTGCGCGGATGCGCAGGCTGGTCTGGTACCATGCTGGTCGCAAATCAATTATGTTGGTTTTGTCATGACACGGCTCAATTATATTTATTCATATCTGCAAATTGTGCCTTCTAATATCACACGCACTAACAACACACAATTTTGTTTCTCTGCTTATTTATCATTTCTTTTCACTTTCAAAGATTGCTGTAGTTTTAAAAAAAAATTATTGCTTCACATAAATGTAAAAAAGCCTCACATAAATGTTAAATAAAATCATTCTGCAAATGATAAGTATGAAAATCATGTACAGGTACAAGAAAAGCAAATGGCTTAGACAAGGCAACAAGTTATTAAAACATCAGATTTAACCCTTCCTAATTGGCTATAGGCCATTTAATTTTTTTGACTTTGTTACCTAGGGTAAGAACATTTTTTGGAGTATAGGCAAAATTAAAACAGATTTAAAATTAAAACAGTTTTTATAAAACCTATATTTTTCTTTAAGAGAACTCCCAAAAAACATCCTAAATCATGATTGTAGCTCAATAGTTGTTTAAAGTGATTGATATTCATTTTAAGTTCAGTGAAAAAAGTTTACAATAGTTTACTACTATTTTATAGGATTCCCAACTGTTTCTTTTAAAGACTAAAGGGTTTTAAAAAAGTCTTTTCCCATAATAAATTAAAGGAAAATTTTTTTTTAGTTTCATTCTGTTATATTTTTGAATAAAATTTTTTAAAGTTTCCACACCCCAGTTTTAAGGCCAAAATATTTCAAGAGAATAAAATTTGAAAAATTCCCTTAATTTTTTAAAGAAGGAAAAAACAATAAAAGATAAATTTTTAAAATTTATTAATAAAAATTAAATAAAATTTGGTTTTTTGGGTTTTTATCCCATTTTTCAAACTGGGGTTATTAACCAAGTAAGGATTTTTTGAAAAATTTTTGGGCCCTTTTCTTTTTTGGTTTATTTGAAATGGATTGAAAGTGCCAATTGCAATATCTAAATAACTTTATTTGTTCACCTAACAATATTTCACTGTCAAATACATTATCAAAATTTTCATGAAATTTAACATGAATCTGGAGGCCTGCTGCTTTAAATTGCACATAAAAACTAGCAACTAAATGAGTTCAAATAACTGGAGTCTATGCATCCCTTATATAGCTCCAGCAGACTGATGTAGTAGTTTGGACCCTTGGTGTTGCTTTGAAGTTCTTAACACCTGATGTTAGCCAAATTAAATTAAATTATTTTTTTTATGGAATTTTAGCTAAAGCAACATTGTAAAAGAGCTTGTAAAAATAAACTTTCAAAAATTGTCTATCAAAAGCTACATGTACGAGTTAAATTTTTGTTAATTGTTAAACTGAATATATTGAATATTGACGTCGGAATAGATAAAATTTTATTGATAATTATAATATTATGTGTTATTAATGATGCTATGTAAATAAAGTATAGTTTACCAATGACAACTTGCCGTATAAGTTAAAACTGACTAAGTATTTATAATTCCCATTTATCAATTATGTTATGAAGTTGATTTACTGATAAAAACTAGCAGTATAAGATAATATTTTTTTTTTAAATTGACCAATCAAAGAAACTTAATCTGATTTTATGGTAATGTTTGATTTTTAAAGGCCCATCAGGCCCCATAGGGCTAAATATATTATTATTTATATTTCCTTTCACTGTTCTGTTTATAAAATGGTACTTTTGAGCCTTATTGCTGAACCATGCATCTATCTAAACCATCTTTTGCTTTTTAGCCTTTGTAAAGTTATGATGATTAAGAGTTTTTTATAAAAGACAAATTTGTTTACTTTCTATTACATTTTATGACAAATTGTTTAATAGTCAACACTGTTTTCTGCTCAAGACAGTCATTTAACATTGCTTTAAATTCATTATTTAAAACATTGTAACTTTTTCTTTGGAGAAGAAATCATGTTCATATCAGATGCATAGTGTACCTTAAATGAGCCGCGTCACGACAAAACCAACAAAATGGGTTTGCGACCAGCATGGATCCAGACCAGCCTGCGCATCAGTGCAGTCTGATCAGGATCCATGCTGTTTGCTTACAGACCCTATAACAAGTAAAGAAACTGATAGCGAACAGCATGGATCCTGATCAGACTGCGTGGATGCGCAGGCTGGTCTGGATCCATGCTGGCCGCAAACCCATTATGTTGGTTTTGTCGTGACACGGCTCAAATTAATAGTAAAATTGTACTTGCATATTATAAATAGCTCAGAGTTCGTAAATGCCTGTTTTCCTGCTAGATGTTGACATGAAAGTACACTTATATTAACAGTTATAAATTAGTAAGTTAATTAAAATAACATGCTGTACATATATACATATATATATATTAAAAGCTCCATTAACTGACTAAAATCACTTATAAAATTAAACTTGAAAATTGGATCCAGGGGTTAAATTTTTTTTGTTGGGTTAAATTTTTTGGGAGTAACTTAATAGATTTTTTTTTTATTTTTAGCCATCCACGGAAAACCCACCCAATTTAAAATACCCGAAACCAGTAAAATCTCGAAAAGGGCTAGGGGAAGAATTTTACCCCTTTTGAAAATTTTTTTTAACCCCCAAAGGGAAATTTGGGGTGGTGGGGGGGAAATTTAGATTTACCCTTTTTTTTGGATCTGAATTGTCCGTTCCCCCTTCTAATTTTTTTGTCAAAATTAAAAAACTTTTAACTGAATAGCTAATTTTGCTAGAGGGCAACAAAAATTCAGAAATGTTGTTTTCCCGCAATGTAAAGGGTTTTGGCCCCCGGGCTTTTTTTTGTTATTTTTTGATTTGAATTATTTTTTTTTAAAAAAAGATTACATTTGCAGATTTTTATAAATGGAAAATTTCACCATTTAGTATCATGTATGGATATTGACTTCTTTCTGCCTGTGATAATTAAGGGGGCATGGGCAGTAGCTTACATTTACCTCTGACATCTTTGAACAGGTTTAATCAAACCAACCTGGCAACATTTCAGTTTTTCTGTTTTGATTTGAATGTTAGTCAAAGTTTCCTGTCCATCTTTATTATTGGTAAAAGACACTGTATTTGACTGTAATCTGTAGTATTTGTATTTTGTTTCAGTCATACAGAAATACCTTTTAAGAGAACCATGTTTGTAAACTGTCAATGAAATGAATGGTGATTGGGCAGAAATATTGCTAAATCTACTAAAAGAAGCATAGTAATGTGAGGGACCATTTTCTACTGAGTTTTTTTACATCATTTGTTCATTTATGATATATTTATTATAAAGTTTGTTTTTATTTTATATCTTTTAGTTACATTTGATCGCTTTGAATAATCCACACCATGGTCGCCTTCGTGGAATTAGAGGAGCAGATTACTTGGGGTCATCTGAAACACGTGGAAAAAGGGAAAGGAAGGCACGTTTAAAAGGGTTTTCTTTCCCCCTCCTAGAAACTAGATCCTTGGGGGTATTATCCTTTTAGTAGAAAGTTCCAATTTTTCCCCTTTTTAAAGGGAAAAAAAAGAACAATTTTTTTACTTATTTGGGATTTTTTTCGGTTTTTTTTTGGGAATTTTAAAACCCGTTTACTTTTTTTTAAATAAAAAACCAGCGTGCACAAGTAGTGGTTAAGGGGTCTGCCTGTCAACCCAGGGGTAATGAGTTCGAGCCCTAATCGAGTCACATACATGTTTCTTCATAGGACCGCAGTACTGGTTGGCTCCAGGAAACAGACACAAAAGTGATTAGTATGAGTTGCAAGAACTTGTTTTGCAATCGAGCTTAAATAGATATGTTTTAAAGACATTTGGAAGGTAAGAAGGTAAATATTTCATGTTTGTGAAATGAGAAATATTCAAAGAAAGAACATAAATAATATTCATATGCATGAAAAGTCTGTTAAGGTGAGAAATCGATTTTCAAAGTTTCATTTCTATAAACATTTTACTTAGTTCATAAGTCAAAAGATATCAGTCTTGTATAATATTCTGAGTTAAGTCGTTTCTGTTTAATATGATTTGCTCCTACTAAAATAATTATAATTTTAATTTCTTCCCCTTCTACCTCCATCTAAGACTTGAGAATTGTACTACAGTAAACATAATTGAAATCGGATAATAAATCACTCTAAATGCTTTAAAACTGTGCAGTGTAAAACTCTTAGTTATACCCAATCATTTTTCCCATGAATTAAAATTATTGTCCAGATTGGAATAAATTGAGTGATAGTGTTGTGCAAGCTAAGACAGTTTAAGACTGCTTCAAATCAGCCATAATCCAATTGGACTCACTTTTCTCTCCCATTTCTTTCTGAAAGGCTCCGCAATGTACCATCCAGATTCAGATCCAGAACATATCATATAGTATTATATCCTAGTTTTTATTAGGGACCAAAATGTTGTATTAGTGATTTCTATTTTTGATTGCAACATGTTATGGTTATTGCGTTTTGATATTATGAATTCCCTGACCCTGCTGGAACCAAAAAAAGATAAGCTTTTGTCACCAGAATGAAGCCTTTACAGCTTGCACATACTTGCAGTTTGACCAGGTTATATATGGTATGTAACTCAATTTTGGAATTTGATTGATTGAATTCATCACATACCTGTGCCGATTTTGCAGCTTCGTAAAAATGGTATTGCAGGGCTGTGCAATGTATTTTAAAGTGACCTCAATTGCATTATACAAACATATAAGTGTAAAGATGTGTAAATGTTAGCGTTACACTATAGGCCTGTCAATGAAAAATGATTCTTTTGCACAGTAAACAGTCTTTAATATTTTGGGTATGTGATAAATAGAATAGGTTTGTTACTGAATTTATTGAACTCGTTGAACAAAGTTATATTTTGCTCGCCAGAGGATGGCACAATATAATTGAAATCAACTTGTAAATAAATTCAGTATTGACTGAATTGAACCTACACTCATTCAATATCCTAGATATCTGATAATCTCCTAAACTTTGAAAATTAGACTTCTCTGAATTCAGAAACACAGCAAACCTATAACACATGGTCAGCAGGTTACAGGTTAATTAAAAAAACATTTCTGCGTTACTGATTTATAAAGCAATGGTTTCAATGAATTTTTATTTCAGGATGAAATTTTATTTAACTCGTGGAATGATTTAACTAGTGGAGCAGGAGGACCATTTAACCATGGGGCAACTATCTACTCCTTTAATGGAAATAATGTAAAAGAAGATCCCAAATGGTTTGTATATTTCTTTCCTATTGTTTAAATTGTTGTTTTTAAGTGCTACATATGCTATTAAATTCACAATAATACGGTCATAATTATGGCAAATAAGGATCTTACATCGTTACATCAGCTGCCGGTACAGACCGGAATATCTATCTCAAGGGTTACTGTTTACGACAGTAACAAGGCTGTGAGGAGTTTCAGCTACACAGTTTCCCAATTGCTAGATACTCTTGTCTGTGACAACAGCTGGCATTTGATTCTTTTTCTTGTATATTACAAATTAATAATATTTTGAAAAGAAATTACAGAAAACTAATATTTTTCTTTAGCATTTTTTTCTTACAGTAGTGTATGAATTTACAACTTCATTCATAATGGCACAATGACATGGGAATGACGTCATTTAAAACACGCGACTTATCTTACACGGTTAGTGTAAGACAGCTTTTTCTAGCTGCGGACTGTAAACAGTAGATAACTGATATGCAAGTAACTATCTAGCTTTACTGGCATAGGAAGATTTTAGTTAGGTGCCCTTCAGTGCAGTAATGTAAAGAAATGATAGCATCTTTTATTATAGGGACATTCAGGTATTTTGTTTGAATAATTGATATTCTGCAGGCTAGTTTGATAATTTTTTCACTTTCCACATGCCTCAATATCAATAAACAATGGCAGGATTGTAATTAGTAGCCATGATGGGCAACACTGATTTGTTCAACATTCACAACTGTGCCAGAAAGCCCCTAGAATATTATTAGTTATAAAGATTTTTGACATGTTATATTGCCCTACATAAGAGGTTGTTGTTGAAATATAACCTGAGTCGATATGTACAAGGGAGGTAATCATTGAATATTTTAAACAGTTACTTACCCTCGTGACGATTTTTAAATATCAGCATGGTTACATTATATGACAGTCTCTTCTACAATGTCATGTATTTAGGTTTAGTTTTAAAGAAAAATGTTGCAAATGTCGGTTTTGTTTAGTTTGGTTTTATGGTGCACCAGCCAGGTTTCTTGTATTCAGTTCTTTATATTTTATATATTTGTTACAGGCCAATGAAAGTATTGTGGCATGGATCAGATAAAAAAGGTGCAAGAATGACGGATAAATCATGTAGAGGATGGAGTTCACACTCGCGTTATGCTACCGGCCTTGGTAGCTCTCTAATGGAAGGAAAAGTCATGGAGCAAGATGAATATAGCTGTAATAATGCTTTTGTCGTGTTGTGTGTGGAGATCACAAGTCAAATCCGGCTAAGAAAGTGAAATTAATGTAGACAAGAAATTTTTATATTATTGAGTATATACTAGAACTGACTTGTTACGCTTAACACAGTTAACTTTAGATGAACAAAAAAGATCTGTGATATACGTATTTTTTGTTGATGGTGACTGATTATTGGTTGCTTGAAGTCATGTGACCTGCTGGAGCAAAGATCTGATTGGATGAATTTTTAATACCGCTGACCAGTATAAATCCATAGAATAGTGAGGAAAAAGATGTTGCCATATTAACTAACTGTAGGCTTTGACTTTAGTATATAGAGGCGCTTGTTTCATGAAGTTTCTACAAAGTGTGCATTCATTTATTCATTCATTCTTTAATATTTCTGGGGAGGAAATCTCATGTAGATTTATTTGATTGGTTGTTTTCGTACAGTATAATTTAATGTATACTATGTAATTTTATACAAAGAGAAAAGTTTTCTAAGATGTTATGAAGGAAAATTCCTTTCATTTCAATAGAAAAATCTACAAAGATGTGTTGATTTCACAATTCTGATTGTTAATAATTTTAAAAATCGTAGACAAATTGTAGTTTAAATATGTCAACTGTGATTAGGTTATAAGTTTTAAAAAAACTTGTGTCTTTTGAATTGTAAAGACATTTTCTCCATTACGTTTCTTTTTCATGTATGCTTTTCATTGGTTTGCTTAAATTGTATTCCTGTATCTGATTGGCCAGTATTAAGAAGCCTGGCTTTCATTTGTTATTGTAATGTGATCTCTGATTGGATCATTTGAATTCAAACGACCAATAACATTGCTCGATATATTTGTGTACCATTAGGAGCCTTTTATAACGGTGAATTAACTGGTTCCAAATATCGCCATAGAAACCAGTTTGAAAGACAAGTCACATGTATGTAAATTAGTCTCGAAACAAAAGAGAAAATATTCCTCGTAACTTTTCACCGAATGCTTACGGACATTACGGAAAATTTATCAGATATACTCTTTACTGTTTTATTCAGAGAACTTTCGCATTTTTTTACGATTTTTTAAACTTTCGTTTTTATTTAAAGACAAAGGTATTAATATCTTTCTGCTTTTTTTTTCGGATGTCCTCGCTCCCCATTATTATAATATGTGCCTACTATTTTTTGCAAGTTGTAAATTTGCTTCGTTTTGGAATGTGAGGATAAGGTACCTTATAGTTTAAGTGAAAGTATCAGACGTTTGGATAAAGTCATTAAAAGTTATTGTTACTTTTAGGTTAAGTACTCATAATGAGATACTTAAAATATTTTTTGTATCGATAATTTGAAAGACTGACAGTTTCAAAGAAAATGTCCTGTCTCATGTCACACCTATGTTAAGTCTCTTCAGTATCTGAATATAGTGATGCTGATGAACATAGCAGATTTAAACTTTTCTCATGAGAATGAATTATATGAAAGTCTAAAACTTTTACTAAATACATGTATGAAAATATTTACTAAAATGGTCTTAAGTCAGTCCTACAGTTTACAGTATAAGTCCTAGCTTTTACAATACACTTAGGACTGTATATGAAGTGCAGCCCAGTTTTAAAGTGTTTTTAGCTATATTTAGCATGATATAATCCAATGAATAATGGGCAATAACTCTGATGATCACATGAATAATGGGCAATAACTCTGATGACTTTATTGAGACAGTTGTGATAATGTATGTTAGAGATTTATTGTTATGAATGTAGCTGCATGCCAAAATATTGTACATAGATAATGTTTGTATCAAAGTATTACAAAAAACTCCTATAAGGGGCTGACGATGGTGTTTGTTTTTTTTGTGAATTGTGTTATTGTTAAATCGAACAGTTTTTGACCTATGTAGATAGATGTAAACATTTTGTTTTTCATGCAGCACTCTTATTATAGCCTTTCTGGAACCATAACTTTCATCAATTTATTATTTACCTACTTACCCTTTACAAACATTTGTTATTTTCTTGTGAAGAATTATAGGGAGTTTTCTAACAAGAAATAAAAGTCATCACACGCTTAATGTGTCTATTACCATAATATGAATCTGATAAAGTGATGATAAACATCTGTTACTATTTTATAGATTCATATAATTTAGAAAAAAACACAATTGTAATATTTATGGATTTATACATGTATAAATAGATACATCTTACTACATAAGGATTTGGAATGTATCTATCTTTAGAATTGTGGATGTATAAATAGACACATGTTACTATCTTTAGATTCATGAATTTATAAATAGACACATGTTACTATCTTTAGATTTGGAATGTATAAATAGACACATGTTACTATCTTTAGATTCATGAATTTGTAAATAGACACATGTTACTATCTTTAGATTTTGAATGTATAAATAGACACATGTTACTATCTTTAGATTCATGAATGTATGAATAAACATTTGTTACTATAGACAATAAAATGAAAACAAATATTTAATCATTTTTATAAACTTCATGTATATGTTTGTAACAATTTGTATAGACATGGAAATGCATTTGCTTTTCAAGTGTTACCAATTTATGAACACCTAATAGTAAAAGGGGATGAATTTAGGGTGGGGATTGTGGGGGCTGGGGTAAAATAAATCCATAGTATTACAATGTCAAACAGTTGTTATTAATTACCAAATCTTTATACAAAATAGCTTTAATTGTTGAATGGGTAAATAATGAATTCCAGCTTTAAAATTGTTTATATAAAAACATTCTAAAAAAATATTTTTAAGTTTCTAAATAGTGACCACATATTTCAACTTTTAGCAACTGTACAGTAACCACTTATATTCTATCTCTTTGAAACTTTTTATATATCAGTTTTTATTTCATTTTTTTTATGAATTTTTCTGTCTTTTACATTACGAATTTTTAGAAATATTTTATAACACTTTGCATGATTTATAGAAATATGTCTTGGAGAAAAATAAAAAGCTTTCGAATATGTACACGGATGTTTCTATCTTATATTTTCTTATTTTTTTTACTGTTTTTTTTTAAACTTAACAGACATACAACTTAATGTTTTAGTATGTAATTTCCTTAAAGGCACATTATGCCTCAGAAATCCATTTTTTTTTAATTCTGTAGAAGGTTCAAACATGTGTTTAATGTGTTTTTATTGGATTAAGACATGTTAGATGTTTAACAACTGAAGAAGTAGCGCTGAACATACAGTAATGTGACATAAAGGTAGCATAATGTAAACAAAGTAGTTTATTTAATGCCATACAAAATATTAATTCACTTTTACTATACCAATTGCCAAAAGAAAAAAAAACAGCCAAAGATAGTTGGTGTATATCGAAAATGAGAATTTTATGAAAACTGTAACAAGATAAAAAAAATAAAAATGTTTTTGAGAAATAAAAATGATAGCATTTCTGAGGCATAATGGGCCTTTAATACTGTAAATGTAGCATAATCCCTGAAAGAACTACCAATATGGTTACTGTGACTCTCCCATACATGATCTATAGTGTTAGTTATCCTGAAACGAAATCAGGTATATTAGTATATACATGTAAAATTAGTTACCTTCTGAAATATCAATTAATATTCAATTAATATGGTAAATGTTAGGCGTATCACTATTATAATGAAGAACAATTATGACGAGACACAATAATCAGCCTTATTGTAAACAAATACTGTCAACAAATTTTGGGGGGTTTCGTGCAGAAAAGCTGTATATCTTGTTATATAATGAAGGAGTAATGTCCATTTTGCAATGACCCATCAAAATACTGTTTGTGGTCTCAACATTTAGAGCACCTTTTTTTAGACAGACATTGTCCAACTGACATTTGGTAATTGATTTTTAATTAAATTAGATATAAAAAATATTCAATTACCGTATATTACAATAACAAAAAACAAGTTCCATTTGATAAACGATTATAAAGTAAGACATAACTAAAAGCTTTGACTTAATTAGTTATTTTTAAAGTGTGATTTGCTCCCTCTCTCTTTACCTTTATAAGGATTTACAATGTATATGTAAGAGGCATTATTTCAACTTGTTAATTTGTTTTCATTATAAATCCATATTGAGTTAAAACCGGTGATGAAATCATACATTTTGAAAATTTTAAAACACGCACATTATTCTTGTAAATGTTTTAAAGTTAGAAGAGTGGAAAAAATATGTTCCAAGGAATGTAATAATGCTGTTAATCTATATAACTATGAAATTATACATTGCACTTTTTTTTAAGGTGAACAAAAATATTTGTAAAATTTTCATGCTGCATCATTTTTTTGGCTAGTTTAATTTGTGTGCTATGAAATTTAAAAAAAAAGGGAATATATAAATTTATGTATCATAATATCCATCGTTTAAGTCTTTTGTTTCATTTCACTTCTTTTGTTTCATTACACTTCTTTTGTTTCATTTCATTGCTTTTGCTTATAAAATCAAAATTTTCTTCACTATGATACAGCATTAATTACTACACTAAGAGGACAAAGACATTTTAAAAGACAAAAGTTAAGCACCAAAATGGCTCCATGCACCTTGTATCGTAAAAACAAGCATTCAAAATAGTATTGGCTTTATTTGTAAATTTTATTTATCATAATATACTGTAGAAATATAGGGAAAATTATAAGCGTATAAAATACCAATAGAGCAAGCCAGTATGCTCTTCTGTGCCCAGACTCTATACAACTGGCTGAACAACTTCAGAAATTCATCTTGGTATTGACCAATATTGTAATGAAACTAGACATGCATTAAACATTTTCACTAATATTAAGACTCACTGGTTTTTATTGACTACAATGGGAATTAACAAATTTTCAAGTACATTACCATTGTTAGCTTAGACTATAAGTCTTTTGTTGCAAATTTTTGAACTCGGCATCGTTTTCCATGAAATATTTATTTGTAAAATGATCCAAAATGAAGGTTAAGATTTCATATCAATCGGCTAAATAAGCATTAAAAAAACCAATTTTTATTATATTCAAAATCAATAATTCTAATAATCTTTGATATCTGTTAAGTGGCAGCTTATTTATGTAAAAAGTTCAATGTTATGTTTTTAGCTTTTAAACTCGTGAGTCCTTTAATGTTACAACGTGTTATTTTTATGTTTGATGCCTTAATGTTTACATATATTAATCATTGTCATTTGTAAAATGTCTTTACTGTCATTTAATTTAAAAAAAGGCCGAAAACATTGAGTTCGCTATTACACTCAATTAGGCGAATTCCCCAGAGCTATGTACAGAAAGTACCGGAAAACGGCGTTTAGCTAGGTTTTCGAATTCGTGAATACCAAAAAATTGATGATGTAAACTAGACATGTCCAATTAGAAAATTTCGCTAATTAAGGATTAACAACAGTGTCAGATTTTGTTATTGTTTGATGTCTTAATGGTTTAACAATATTACATCATTGTATAAATGCATCTTTACTGTCATTTAAATCATATATTAAAATTTTTAAAAAAAGTCATAAATAATGTTTAAAAAAAAAAACAACAATAGTAAATAAAGAAAAATAATCATCATGTTTATTATGATATTTACATTTATATAGTTGAAATTTATCTAATAATTGCCCCTTTTCCTCCTGCTATATTTTACCATGTTAGAGAGTATATTTTTTTAAAAGCACAATTTGCATAGTTACAGAGGGGTCTTTATTATGATTTATATATTACATATTAATACAGTGAAAATAATCCTGATAAATGCCCTGTTTATTTTTCAATATCCTTATTTATGTCAGTTGGGGAATTTTTTCATGTGAAGAAGCTATCCAGCTAGCTGTCGGAATGTTGCTGCTTCTGCTAAGGTGGTGGCATGTAACTGGAATATTGTACAAAAAGGGCACCAAATGTGGGCATCAACACTGAATACAAGTTTAAAGTTGCCACATGACCATGATAGTGTGAATGTGTTTTTTAAACCCAGCAAAAAAAAACTAAACAGAAATGTATGAGGGAAATAGAGAGCTCTTTATTACGATATATATGGTATTATGTTTAATTATTATGATTTGATCATGACATAATTATGTTGCTTATTTTTGATATACATGTGTTTGTTATAAAGATGTGTATTGTACAGTATTGTGATGATTTAGTGGCCAGTATATTCTTTCCTTTTGCTTCATTACAACTTTTTAAGTCAATTTTGTTGTTAAGGACAGTTTTAGAGAGAAAATTATGACCTTTAAGTGCAGCAAATATTTTATCCCAAGGTCAAAGTGTACTCTCAACTGGAATTCAATAGATAAACATTAAACTTCTCTTTCAATATGATCTTGATCAAAAACAAAGACACTCACTCCAATGGTGTCTTTTGAACAAGTTTGACTGTAACATTTAATACAGTTTCACAATTATACATGTATATAACGTAACTGTTTTATATAAGTACATAAAGTACATATACATGTTACAACAACATAAAATGTGGGTTATGGTATTCAACCACAACACAGAGAGATAGGCATTTTGTCACTACGTCTAGCCAGAGCCAAACCAGGTTCAATCTTCATGAAATCTGACCAAACTCTATATACTCTTGACTTACTTGACTTACTGACATAAAATGTCCATCTTGATATGCAAAAAGTTTGCCATTAATAGTTCCCAAAATAGAATGTGGTAAGTCTATTTAAGAATTTCAACAGGAAATTGGATGAAATTGTATTTTAGGGATTAATACAAAACTGTTTTAATTTGTGTAACAAGCCTTCAAGTCGATTCCTGTTATTTTACTTCCAGTAGACAAGCTTATGTATATATATTAACCTTTTGCGTCTGCTTAAAATGCCGTCTGCTTAATTCTTTAGTTTTACCAAATTGCCTTGAAATATAAAGAAATACAGTGCAACTGTCATTCAGGTTGTTTCTTGTAATTCTGATTGGTTCCTGTCATTCAGAATGGGTCCTGGCAAGCTGTTGAGGTACTCAGCTTCTCAACTGGTACCAGCCTCATTACTTGGTCTATTTTAAGATGTGTACTCAGCAGACTTAAATGGTTCATGCCAGTTGGAGCATTTTGGTGTTTTACTTTTGCTTTGTACGACTTAAGTAATAAACATTTTGATTGAATAAATATTTAGAACATTAATCTGCTAATTGTTTTGTATTAAAAGGTTTTCTTGCACATGAATTTTTGTCTTTAAACTTAAGAAGGGTCAGTTAAAATGTTTTAACTTGTTTTCAGATATTAAGTATATTACGATTTGTTTTGTGTTGGAATAAACCTGTAGAAAATCTATATTCTGTTAAATCTATGTATTTCAATCACGATTTCGAGCTATCACATTGGAATTGTACTTAAACTTGATTTTTCCGACGATGAAGGGGTAAATTAGCTGTTGCAAGACAAGCATTTTTATGAACAACTCCCAATATTATGTTGTCAATATCAGCGTTTTAGCTACCGTTATAAGATTTTAAACATTTGAGCCACGTCACGACAAAACCAATGTAGTGCGTTTGCAACCAGCATGGATCTAGACCAGGCTGCGCATCCACGCAGTCTGATCAGGATCCATGCTGTTGGCTATCAGTTTCTCTACTTGTAATAGAGTTGGTAAGCAAACAGTATGGACACGAAGGCTGGTCTGGATCCATGCTGGTCGCAAACGCACTACGTTGGTTTTGTGGTAACGCGGCTCATTTTATAATTATGCTGTGTATACTGACTGCAATGTGCTGAATACAGTCATCATCTTTTCATTTATCTTCTGTCTTTATTTTTTTCATTTATTAACTTATTTCACAGCCAAGCTATATCTCTGAATAAAACAAATGTAAATGTTCCTAGTTGTTGAGTTATTTCTCTGCTATCTTTGTACATTAATTTGTAAGTTTAATTGTCCTGGTAATTGAACATTTCAGGGACCCATGCATAATGAACTGTATTATATATTCTACAAAACAATAGAATTAACTTTAATAGTCTTATTAAATGAGCCACTAC